TGTGGTTGTTAATAAGTGCCCACACAATACATACAGTAAACAAACGCTGTCTATAATTTCACATCCCCACTTACTGCTTTCTCTTACATTTTTCAGTGTAACCAAACCTATCACTTGGCTTCAAACACTTCTCAATTTCTGAAACTTGAAAATGTTACTTACATAAAAGTTAGAAGTAATAATATTGTGCCGTATTTGTGCTACGCAGGATGACACCCCTCCCCCGCTAGCGTTGACGTAACACCTTCGGAGTGTTGCCGCTGCTACAGTAATAGGCCAATCAACACCCCGCTCCCTCCCGAGGTGACGTTACCAAGGGATGTCACGGTTGCTATGCAGCAGTAAACAACTCCCGACAGCGTTGCTAGGCTATTGGCAAACACTGCGTCAGGCAACAGCAGTACCTATCGCGTAACTGTTTTCTGTCTTGTCCGTGCTGAGGCTAAATAAGGAGCAGCAAACACTATTCAGCAGTTAGTAGTTAGAAGTAAGTGAGAGATCAGTTAGTAGTTAATAGTGTGTGATCAGGAGTGACACAGTTAAAATGTAGCTGCCACCAGAGACACTCGAATTGGAACAGTCGCCGGGTTCAGTTGTGGTGGAAAGAAGAATACCGGAATGAGTGGTTAGAAGTGATAGTTTGAGAAGCAGATGCTTGGCTCACAAGAGGAATAATTGGGAGCGTGTAATACAGTGACACTGGTATAGCTCCTTTATCGTACTGTGAATATATGTAGACTACTGAGGACAGAGTGGACAGATTATTGTGTAGGGTTGTAAATTGTGTAAACCTGTAACAGTGTCATAATTAATTATAGCCAAGAATTGCAGGTTGTTAAATAAACCAATTAACAATCTGAATGGCGTCTTCAGTGGTAAAACACATTACAATATAAAGGAAAACTCCATGCCCTTTAAAGCAAACAGACCACATTCATATTCTACCCTATAAAAACAGTGAAACAAAGATTCTGAAGCATCCTTCAAGCTATGATTCAGTCCAAGCATGCATTCATATAACATGACATAGCTCTGAGACTGACACCACGCAATCAACTGTCACACTGTATTTGGTGTAATACAAGATAATAGCACACAAAGAGAATGGGTTCTCGGACTTCATCCATCATCCGGATTCTAATTAACTAAGTAGGACTTCATCCATCGTCTGGATTCTAAATAACTAAGTAAAAATCACAACGTTTCGGATGATGATCCAGTGTTCGTCCAGTGTTTGAGGCTAGCTCTTTCTATGGGACCCAACATAGTAGGTGTCTTCCCTCACCTGAGGACAGAAACAGATCCAGTTTCCGAAACGTTGTGTTTTTTACTTATTTAGAATCCGGACGATGGACAAAGTCCGAGAACCCAGTATCTGTGTGTGTTACGCACCATCGTCAGAACCCTATAGTACCAAAATAATAGCAGTCTTTCACGCACACTTAGCAACATATATAATCACTAAATTGAAGTACTGTGAAAGCTACTGGGGGGAAAAAAAGGAGTCAGATATGACGGAGATGTCTGTAGCCATGCTACTTAAGAGGCATTATGTTGATACTGAATATATAAATTAATGATGTGCTGTTTACAAGAAACTTAATGTCTCCTCCTCTTTTATGGTTTGAGTTAAAATTAGTGGATCAAGTGGTTTCATCTTTTTATGTTCACCTGATATCTCATGAGTATTTTCATCTGATCTATTTTACTACAGAAAACGAGACACTAATTTCAAGTGTCTTTCAAGGACATTTGTTCTCATATTGAAAATATCTCAGACTACCCCCTTTATATATTTAATTTTTGCACCTATTCCTTGTGATGATTGGTGTCTGGATATAAATTTGTAGAAATACAAATTAAAGTCACAACCAAGATGTGTAATTAAATTCAATTCATCTACTTAAACACAATATGAAAGGAATGAAACCATGGCTTGATATCCATACTTGTAAAAGTGCCTGTGTACTTGCCTATGTGGCTTACACATGCAAACACTAAATGTCTACAACTATTTCGCTGTTTGGCAATCATTTAACGCTTTGAATGCCAAGACACAGGACTACTTGCTTGAAATGCCAAGGCTGTTTGGAGATATATGCCACTATATAGAGAAAAACGCATAATACTTTTCCACATTACCTTCAAACAACCATTTATGTCCATAGCATGAAAGTCTGTACTTCCCTCTAAACATCCATATATAACACTTGACGCCATGTACTAAGTGACTAAAAACTGAGCACATCTAATTGGCATAAGATGAGCAAAGGGTTAATGAATAGAGTGATCACTATGTTGTGCCACAGCAATATCTTCCTGTATCTACATTATGAAAACAAGTACATGTAAGTATGTTTGCACAAGAGGTCCACCTGTGGCAGTGCTTAAAAAAATATAGCCATCCTATGGATGCATATATGTTGCGATATCACCTTGTTTCTTTGCGCTGATGTTTATAGCATACTGATATTATTAAACTGCACTGAATCTGTAAACAGTAACAATATCATTTACATTGCAAATGAGGGCACTTTCAGTTTTTTTTATCTGGGATTACACTACTGTGAAAATAATATAATGGTTCATCAGGAGCATGACTATTTTACAATATTACTATCATAAATCTTGGTCAATATTTCTAGATTATAATGAAATGAAACATACAGGACAAAAGTACTTAGTGTAACTAAGGAAAGGTTTAAACTTCTGAAATGTATTCAGAAAGAAAAATAAAGAAATGATTATGGGTAAATACTTATGAACAAATAAAGGAATTTAGGCAACAGTGTGACGGACCAGGATGAGCCATGTGAAATTAAGCAAATTAATTACAAATCTGAACACTGAACACAATCCATTCAAAATTATTTTAAAATCAAAAGCCTGACACTTAAAATATCACAGTTGGATTGTGGACATAGACACATGTTTTGCAGTACAGCGGTGATGGAACATCCATAATTTGTGAACACCATGATCAGCTCTCAGAGGTGTTATTGTAATTGCACTCACTAATTCCTGAATGAAATTTGAAGCCCAAAATAATATCAAGAAATATGCATTCTTAATGCACACTGGCCATAATGGGGAACATTTAAATCAAATTTCAATTACAATTCTCATTGCAGATTCTTGCTTCCTCTGATATTCAATATGTTCAAAGTTTCTATTTCCTTCATGGAAGAAAGACACTTTACATCCTTTTTAAGAGTACAGTAGAATGTATGGATTGATTGTCCTGGTCCCGAGGCAGCTAAGCTTAGTTAGGCCAAGTCACAACTTCCTGATGTGTATATATGGTCACTTGTTTGTGTGTTGCAAAGACAGTACTTAAAGGAACCCAAATGCAATTACAAAAAATTACCACCCTACAGAATTCAGTCCAACTATTGGTCTGTACTATGCAAATACTTAGTGATGCAGCACTCTTACTACTTGGAGTCACTGAACAATCAGTTAATATCACTGTATGAAGACCTTTAAACACTATGTACAATGTAACTGAATATAATCAGAATAATAAACATTTTCCTCAAAAGCTTATCCTAAAGAGCTCTAACAGTGATGTATAAAACTTGGGATTCAGAATTTCTGGACTTGATCAAACTATCTGATGATGAGCAATGCCAAAAAACTCAGTAATCCTGAGGATTTCTCTTAGTCATTGGTTCCAATATCCCACAACAAAACAAGTTCTTCTACATGGTCAACTAATTTTAGTCTGTGTAATTAAGGGTCCCCTCGTTGGTGCCTCCACCTTATCGTGGTGAGGGGGTTTGAGTATACCAAGGCCACTGAGAGGTATACCAGCAGTAGTGTAGCTACTGGCAGGGCCTCCTTTGCTGGACAGGTCAAAGGGTAGGCATCAGACGAAGAGGGACACCAAAAACCAAAAACTGATGCCGGAAGCAGCGACTTGAAGCACAGAGCAAATGATGCTCGAGATGGTTCAAGTTCGTATAGCAACAGGCATGACCAGAGTGGTTTGAACGGCTGTTGTACTGCAATGTGGAAAGCAAATGGAAAAACTACCACATTATCACTTTTCCTGGATAGTCTCTTTCCAAAAACAGACACACCATGTATGCGAACCAGAAGATGTAAGAAGATGCTGGATGACCTTGGGGACAGAAGAGGATATCTCATTTGAAGGAGAAATCTCTAGATCGCATTAACTGGGGGAACTGTTTTGGGAGAGACTGTGGACCTGTCGTCTGACAGATTACTGATGAATGAATGTAATTAAGGGATCACAAAATAAACATATGTATTACCTGACAGTCCTCATACTGTACTGTTATGACAGCAAAATGAACTTGGCATAGACAGGTTATAAAGCTGTAATTTTCAAGGGAGGGATCTGCAACAAGTTATAGACAAACAGACAGACAAAAACCACACTGCATTTAGTGCCCAAATTTTATAATTATATTTTTAATAACCATGAAAATTACTATATTCTAAAGGGTGCTGACAATGGTATATAACACTCAGAATTACAGAGTGCTTTGACTTTGTCCATCATCCGGTATTCCAAAAAACAGATTACAGAATGTTTCAAGAAACTGAATCTATTTCTGCCCTCAGATGAAGGGTGAGACATCTACTCTGTTGGGTCCCTTAGAAAGAGCTAACCTCAATCACTGGACGACTCATGTCAGCATCATTACAGCTATATAAATACATGAGACCAGGTTTTGTTGAAGGGAGATAACAGCAAAATATGCAATAAAAATTGTAACAAAACACGCAGACACATCTTAGTTTCAGGTCTGGGCATGCGTTGTCACAATTTTTATTGCATATTTTCCTGTTAACTCCTTTGATAAAGCCTAGTCTCATGTACTTACAAAGACATAGTTATACTGATATGGGTTGCCCACTGACCGACATTGGCTCTTTCTAAGGGACCCAAAAGAGGTGTCCCCCTCACCTGAGGATGGAAACAGATCCAATTTAAAAAACGTTATGTTCTCTAGTTTTTAGAATACCACATGATGGACAAAGTCCAAAAACCCTGTAATTATGAATGAAAATGACTAATTACAATTTCTATATAATAATTATTCAGTTATCCTTTTCATAGCCCAATCTTAAAACTACATAACGGAGGAAAACCAGGACTACAACTTGTAAATTATTTCTTCCTGCAACCAAGTATGACCCCATACTCTCCACCTCCTGCACTGTTTTTACAACACACACACACTTTCTAGGATATGTACCTCTGTCAGCACTTTCTCTCTCTCTTTTTCTCGTCATCATCACAGATTATTGCAGTATCTCCAGCACAATAATATACTGCACACTGATCAGTTTCTGTATACATCCAGGACAATCTGTGCATGGTACATGTTGGGCTGTATCATATCTTGTCTCAAGGTACAGGGATGTCACATCTAATACAACCAATTCCAGTACTGAGATACGTACAGTGACAAAGCAATATGATGAGTTACTGATGAAATAACATAGCAAATGTTCATAATATCATAGTTTTCTGAAGCTGATACATACAGCTCATATGCATCAGTATCAAAACCACCAGAGCTTCTACATACAATAATTTGCCAAAACATACACTACACATACAATAAAAAATATGATTTAAATATTCATTTTCCTATTTATTAACAAATTTATTGATACGACAGTTGCATGTACAATAGCTGAGACAGGATAGAATATTTCCTAGAGCGCCAAAGCCTCACAGACAAATATTTTATCTACTATGTGAACATTCTGAGGATCTACAATAAACTAAATGGAATTTCATCATAATTATTATTGTTGTTACTGTGAGTAAATCAGATCCTCATACATTACAGATAATGTGTTCTAAAAGCAATGAAATGTGAATCCAATTTTAGATTGTCATAAGAACAGAATACAGATACCAATCTCTTGAACTTCATTATTGGACCGAATCTTCTTAACCTTCCTAGCCCACTCAAGCAGAAACATTTCTGGGGAGGGAGGAAATTAACAAAGTATGAAATCTTGCTACACGTTGGCTAGGTACAATTAAACATATAAAAAGCCAGCTGGAAATTCATCAGGCTACCTCTGGTGCAAAGCACTTTTGCAATTAAATTTTTTAATGATTCTGAAATATTAATACTTCAGTGGTGTGTGTGTGTATATATATATTCTATGTTTCTGTTTGATACTGTATTGTGAGGAGCAATAATAACTGTGATGGGCTACAAAAACAAATTCTGTAAATGTTTTTCAGTTCACAGAATGTGTGAGGCTGAAAGTGAAATTTACGCACAAAATGCATTCCCCTACACAACAAATGGATGCCCAGATGGACTAACAATGTTACAAAACAGAGCTTACTTTTACAGTTCTGTACCACTGGCAGTGCCATTACATTGTACACTATCTGAGCATTTATCACGGGCAGCTGGTGGCTCATAATATCTCCTGTAATATGTAGAAAAAATATCATATAACGCATGGCAAATGCTGCAGCTGATACTACAACAGGTTTCTGTTTTAGGGGCCACTACAGGCCAACTCATTTCTGTATGTTCATCCTAAACTGATTACAGTTACATGTTCTATCCTGTCACTTATTTTATACACACAATTTCACTACTAACCCAAGTTTATGATTATGTAAATGTTCATGAAACTAGACCAAAGCAGCCCAGCATCACCATGGCCAACATGGATGGAATCTCTTCCACCTGCTTACTGCAAGACACAGTTGGAAGACAATATACTGTAGTCTAGCAGGTGCACATAATGTGCAGAGTGTAACAAGGAAGTACTTGAATTATATTTCTAACAATAAATTCAGCTGAAACATGTCTACCTTAATCTCAACAGGATGGAAAATACTGTTGTGTTGATGCTTTAGATATCACAAATAAAATTTAACTAGTATCTTACACCTGCTTCATCCCGCCTTTTCACACTCTGCATACACACACAAACGTACGCACGCACACACAGCAGCAAACTGATATTACCATTTTGTTTCACTGAATCTCTAGAACTGCAGCCTTAACTGTGTCCTTCATGTGAGTGAATATTAGGATGCACATATACACTGTACATGAAGGCTGAGAAAGGTCTGACACAACAAAGCTGGCATAACAAAATGAAAATGTTGCTATGGAAATGCCGCACCTTCCTTGCACAATAAATGGTGCCTGCTAAGTGTCCACCAAATCTTTCTTAAGCAGGATACACACTATTCTCTACTCAAAAGATTTGTGCCACCAAAGAGAAACAGGAGGTGACAAAAATGTCTGCACGCTTGTGCCTCAGGACATTTGAAAAACCTGAAATATGTATCAGTAATGAAAAAAGGCTTTTGTTTATCTTATCATATCCAAGCTAAGCAGCATCAAAGGGAATGTAAATTATACATAAATCTCCTCCCTGTAGTAACTTTTCACGATCCTGTTTGCTTGGGGAAGCAGTCGTCAGGCGTTTTGAAGAGCTGCACATCAGTCAGGAGGATATCAGATGCACTTACACTTGTCTTGTCATTTGAAAAATGGAACACATAAGTAATCATGCATGTCAGCCTCTTGGTGGCTACATTACATCCTTTGGTGCATTTTTGTGCTTGACTCACAGAAACCACTTGTAATTCACCATTACAAAAAAATATATGTTTAGAAAAAATACATTCAGCAGACAATAGGGTGTCATCTGGCTGGTTGAGCTTAGAACACCAGTCTTTCACTGTCACAAAAACATAAACTTCTCCATAGAGACCCGTGATACTGTAAACTTTATGTGAGGCAAACTGCCCAAGTCTTGGAAGACTCAGTACTTGCCCCTCTTTTCCTCACAAATAAAAGACTCAAACACATACAATTTCCAATTTAATTACAAATCAATGAGCTATCATCATACATATGTGCACATACATACACATACACACAACCCCACACCACACTTCTCTTCTCTTCTGAAAACTGATGTGTAAAATAATACACAACTAATAAAATAAAAACTAAGAGCAAAAATCTTGTTTCTTTGTTGGTACTCCAACCAAACAGATCTTAGTTGCAACCCGGAGATAGCACCCTGGATGGCAGTTATAAACATGCCTCAAGTAATGCAAAACTTGCTCACTTTTTGTAGCCAGTTAACAAAACCATGTTTCAGAAATGATCAAGCATAAAGGAAAGAAAAATATCTGGAACATCGTCATACACAATGTATTTGAGGAGAAACATTACCTAATACACGCACAGAGACAACATGCATGCATAGTCCTACAATCTTCCTTTGCCATCTGTCACTCAGGTAAGGGAAGAACTATGCCACCCTACAATGATGGGGGCAATCGTGATGCACTACAGGATGGGTGGTAATGGGTGGTAGTTGACTATCACCATCTATACTATCTGATCTGGCTTTGCGGCGGCACTAAGAATCTCCTCAAAAGACTGCTCCAAACACTGCTTCAATTCTGCATAGCTCACCACAAGAATGCTTTGCTCGTCACGAGACATGAGGCATACCTGCAGGAAGTACAACCAAACAAAATGTTATGCAAATGAGTTCTAATATAACAGCTTTCCATAACATAGAATCAAATATATTTTGGCAGAAATGTCTTCAATGAATCATGCAAATACATTTACAGTGTAACCACAATATAATGAGTACGGTTTATGAGACCTTCATTATAGTGACAAAATAAGCGGCATTTTCAATTTCTTAATGTTATAAAAAAAGGTTAAACTACACCAGTCATCCACAAAGGCCCATACGGTTGAGATTTTGAGGTTCCCACATTTTCTAGACAAACAGCTCATGGCCTCATCAACAGCCACTCTTTACACCCAGGAAGATTCCTGGTACTCATTTCTGTTAAGAGGCTGAGCTGACCCCAGGTCCATAGCGTGGACGGAAGTATTACTTAAATTGAAAAATCCAATGACCTCATCAGGAACTGAACCCACAATGTTCCAGCTTGTAGCATAGTGCCTCAACCAACTACACTACCATACAGAAATATCTTCTGCAAAATAAAGCATTTTACTGGTATTTTCAAGATTATATGCAATTCTTAACTAGCTGCAACTTTCTGTAACTTTTCTAGTCAGACCACATTTGCTATTGAGGCTACGTAAAATGGTAATTAATCAACCCTATGGGCCCTTCCTGCGGGGCATACGGTAGTGTAGTTGGTTGAGGCACTATGCTACAAGCTGGAAGGTCGCAGGATCAAATTCTGATGAGGTTACTGGATTTTTTCAATTCACCTAATCCTTCCAGCCACACTATGGTCCTGGGGTCGACTCAGCCTCTAACAGAAATAAGTACCAGGAATATTCTTGGGGGTAAAGGGCAGCTGGCACATAGGGCTGACAACCTTGCTGCCATCTATGAGCCGATCGTCTAGAAAATGTGGGAACCTCAACATCTCACAACCCTATGGGCCTACATGGCCTGTTACAGGGATACCTTTATTTTACTTTATGGGCCCCTCCTTCACTTTGGGGAAGACAGCCCTGATTCCAGAAACTGAGTACTGTAATTCCTTGTTTAACATGGGAGTTATTTCTTTAATTACAGTATGCATATAAAACCATGTTGTGTAGGGACTTAGTCTTGTGGGAAATAAGATGCAAGGGGATTTTGCTCTGAAAAATACATATATAAAAGACCAAGGTTCAAAATAAATAAATACAGTATGTACACATATACTACAACAAATAGCTTTTATTTATACCCACTGGACATATACGTTATAAATTAGTGTAACGTGGTAACAATAAAGGAACTACAAACTGTACTTTAGCACTACATGGCTGCTGGCTCCATACATCCTCAAAAGCATCCACAGGCTCATCTGTACACTTAAATCTGCAAGCCTAAGTTTGATAATGCTGTCAAGTAATAACTCGTAACATGTGGCTGTCTCACATTCTTTTGCTTAGTCCATTTCTACTTCCCTTACGGGGCAGAAATAAATCCACCAGCCCTCATATGAATTTATGACTCCTTTCCATGAGAGAGGACCGCCTCTGTGGTCTAGTGGTGAGAGTTCCTGGCTACAGATCCAGAGTTCCAGGTTCGATTCCTGGCACTACCAAATTTTCTAAAAAGTAGTGGTTCTGGAATGGGGTCCACTCAGCCTTGTGAGTATAACTGAGGAGCTATTTCAAGGAAATAGCAGTTTCGGTCTAGAAAACTGAGATTAACGGCCATGGGGATCCGTTGCACTGACTACGCGACACCTCCTGTTTGCTAAGGTTGGCACTAACTTTGCCGAGAAGCAGTGGTCGCTTGGTTGGTATAGTTTGCCTGAGGCCTACAGGCCACGGAGGTTTTTTCCCCCATGAGAAGATCTGTTTCAACAATTCAGCATCATCTCTGGCCACTTGCAGAGCTTTTTCATATCTACAGAGCAAGACTGGATTCCATCTGTTAGCTCTCCTTGACATCCTCATTCTCGCTCACCTCAGTTTACCCAAGTATAATCTGTATCTCAGCACTGTATTTTCTTAAAAAACTTCATGCCCAGAACAAGCCAGGTACTACATCTTTCAAAAAATATGTGAATTAACTAAAGTACTGAAGTATATGCACTGGGTTTAGGGTACATGACATACTGTCCTGAAATTTGAATGTGATGTTCATTTATTTCTATCCACCACCTTGAATTTATCTGGATCTGAAGTCCTTCTAAAGGAATACACTTGGTTACATTTCTATAACTTACCTGTTTATTTAAAGAAACCCACAATCCACACTCAGTTCATAAAATGTACAACAACTCTCACTTCTCATGTATTCACAAAGATTTCCACTTTTCATCTATTTTAAAAACAAAGACTGTATCTTCTAACAGCGGCATCACTTCCAATTCTGTCCCCTTAAATATTGTCATGTGTTGGGCGTGTCACGTGACAAATAACTTCACGTGGGTCTCGGATTCACTGAATCTTTATTGGACATTCACTCTTACACGCCGTACAATTGTTATCACTTCAACCATATTCTGTGGCGGCTATCTTTCTGCTGTGTTCTATGAAGGCTAGGTTCCAACTGTGTTGTATGAAAGCTAATTAGCTCTGTCACTCTCGTCTTATGTAGGTATTCTGTGGACCGGATACGAGACACCTTTCGCCAAGGTTCGATCTCACGTGTTTGGAAATCTGTTGCTTCGGGAACGTTCTTTATACACTGGTAATGTGTTTCGTCTCATCTGTTGTTACTCAACGGCCTTCTGTTGTTCATCTCCGGGGAAACGCGTTCGTTGTTTCGGCACTGTCTACGCAACGGCTCAATGTTATCGCGTTACCACGGGAGTATCTACTCCAGACACGTTACAATATTTTCAGTTTTCAGTATCTATGAAATGTCCATGATTTATTCTATCCGTCTTACAGCGCATACATTTATTCACCTTACTCTTCTCTCTTGCACTACATGTTTCAGCACAAAAGTGCCATCTTCAGGTGCTTTTCGATGTACGTCAAACTACTTCGTTGCATGCCCTGTTGTCTTTATACTAAAATATATTGATAAATTTTAAATATTAAAACTGTTCAGGATTTGTTATCCTTATGTCGTATCTCAATACGCGAGTCACAGTATAATACACGCAGTCACAGGAGCAAGACACAACACAAAGCACAATACACACACAAAAGTAGGAAGAATACTCCGACANGCGGAATGCTAAAATATAACATCTATGAAATACTATAAATACAAACCTTCAGCAGTCATGATTAGCAGAACACATGCACACTGCATCACAGATTCATGTCCACTCAAACACTGTGGACTAAAGCTGCACAGGCATACACAAAAGAACAACAGGTTAAGATAAGATAGGGCCTGAAATGACTTCTGTTACTAACCTTGTAATGAACACACCATGCCATGTTGTCTACATTGTTATGAATAAACTGTGCACCACTGCCTACCTAATTATTAATAAGACACACCCCCCAATTTTTGGTCACTTTTCTTAAGAAGAAAGTGCACAGACTATCTTCTGCTGTTGCTATGATATGGAAAAACACCAAATTATCTTCTTCCATTCAGCATATGGGTGAATCTCCAAACTGGCTCCTGTCATTACTACATGAAGGACAGGAGTGATGTAGGAAAATCATATAAATCGAGCAGGAAAGGAATACAGGAGATAAGATGGAGGGAGGAATGCAATGGTATGATGAACAAGGGACAGAAAATAAATACTACAAAAACCAGGGAAATTATTAATCCCCACCAAATTTGACAGGTAACACAAGTAACTACCTAGAATAACAACAGTTTCTGTAATTGCTGGGCAGATTTTTCCATATGGGAACACTGCTTTCTTTTTCAACTGACATAATTAGATCACATTAGTGAGCTAGTAAATCATAGAGCTCCAAGTCAGACAAACATTTACCTTCTCTGGAGCACCTGCATCCAGTTTGTTAAGGCATTGCACAACATGCGACATGTCAAGCCATGGCCGGCCATCTTCTGTAACCTGATGGAACACATAGTCACGGAACAGCTTGAGCATATAGCGATCACCAGTCTCTGCCCATGTTGGATCCAAACTCAATCTGGAAATACCACCATTTGTGTGATATGCTACATCACATCTCATTTGGTCCATAAATGCAACTGGAATCTGAAGATCCCAAAGATCATATAGTGGCCTACACCAAAATCCTCTTTAAAAACATCTCTGCTAAATGAGATTTCAACAATAACATATTCATAATTTCAGGTTGACTTCAGTGTTTATTACATTGCAGTTCACAGCACAGTTCCTGTTCATAAAATTCTTTAGCACCTGATCCTTTCAAGAATACCTGGCAAAGTATTTCTGTACATTATTTTGTGCAGAAAAGGATCACACTGTTTTCTGCAGTCATCCAATTTGAGTTAAATGTATGTTTACCATTAATCTAAAGCATAAAGTCATGTATCTCACTGCTTATAAAATAACAAATCACTGAAATGACAAAATTTCCAGATATACAAAATATTTTCATTACCTGTCAGCTCTGCAGAACAATGGTGGTGACTGATCCCTGTATATCACCAAATGCAATTTAAGTAAAACTTTAACTGAACAATACATCTGTAATTAATGTAATGAAATAGAATACTACTTCTCTCTAGAAACTCAAATACTGATATAATTTATTAAGTAAACATTTAAATAACATTTCCCCTCAAAATGTCACAGAGACAGATGAGCTTACAAGATCACAAACGTAAACTGTAACTTCAATATTAATTAATGATCCTGGTCTGTTATACACAGGATGCCTAGTAGTATATTTTTATGTTTTATTATTATAGTCTTGTGTTATATTAGCATTTTGTATTCTTTTACATATATATTTTATAACTGTTTTAATGATTTACTCATTGTGATTTATATTGAACAATGTCATTGAACTGTTATGGATTAAGTACAATTAATTTTTATTTATATAATTGATGTGATTTGTCCTGTTGTCTTTGACTATTTCTATATCCACTGGTCTTCCAGCCATGTAAGGATCCATGGAATGTAAATAAATAAATGAAGGAATGAATGAATGAAAAACTGTGGTTCAACTGGTGCCAGAGTCCGATAAAGAAACAGAATCAAGCACCCACAGCAACACAAAGATGAAGGTAAACATACAACACAATGAAGGGAATGACAGCTTGGAATTCTTGTCCTTCATAGTTTTCTCCAAAAACTTCAGCTGATATAGCAGTTAGTGATTCCACAATGAAAGCAAGAAACCATCCATTTTATGGAAGGTTTGAAGATAAAGAACTTCCTGAGTCCCAATGAAAGGGTTCACAATTTCAAGGCAAAAATAGACATTTAGTACGCATGAAGTGTCTGATGAATCAACTGCTTTTACAAAAGATTCAAGAGCTCATGCATATGAAATTTGGTCTGACTAATCTCTTGGCAAGTTGCAGGCCCACAGCAAATGGTGTGCATGACTTCTGCTCACACAGAATTGCTTCTAATATGTTGTCAGTTGCAAGTATGAGGTTATGTATACATGACAAAATTTTAACTTCTCAAGTTATGATGATGCCAAAGAATTTAAGGATGTTGAATTATTCTTTTCTTTCGTAATTCCATGATGATCACTTCAAAATGAATAAATATTACCATACAAGCATTATTTTTTTAAATTTAGTGCCATGTTGTGATATTATGTAAGCAGAAGTTAGAAGAACCTAAATATTATGCATATCAACCATTTTAGATGTTAACCTTTAATGTCCGAATGGCACATATATATGTCACAAGCAGCAAACCGGAGTTGGCCGAAAGGCACGTATATGTGACGCAGGACACATGCACTCTTTGGGAGTGCTGACAGTTTGACCTTGGGTTTGAAACCAAAACAAACCTACGTGAGGTCATGTCAGTGGTTCATTCCTTAGCTCTGAACAAAGAAATCATTTATCACGATACTGGTTTCGATACTATTTACGTTTAGATATGACTGTTTATGACTTGCTCAGCCAAATATAGCTCAGCTTTGTTTCGAGAACTGATGAGGAAATATTCATCGGTGCTTGACGCATTCAAGTATTGGTTTTCAGTGGCGAATTATCAGTCAGGAAGTCAGTGTCGGATTGTCTAATATTTCTTTATCAGTTAGAGAGTCACTGTCAGACTGTCATATATTTCTTTATATATCACTTTTATTTTGTGCCTTGGAAGAGGTATAAACCCACTGAGCCAGGATTACTTTGTGAGTAAAGGCATCTTCACCACTGTGACTTTCAGTATGTGTCGGACTCGCACTCTTTTCGACTAGTATTATAATTACTTTGCATCACGATTTTGCAAGTATTACCAACAGGTGAGAGTGTCACTTTGTCAATCAACATAATTTATTCGATTTTGCTAGAAACCCCCCTCCCCCAAGATGATTCTTCAATCGCACAAGCCGAATATCACGGTCAGTGGCGTTTCTCTGGGGAAGGCCAAAGTTATCAGGGGGCCCAACTGAGTTGACTGGAGGTAAAACATTCACATCACTGGCCAACCAAAGGGAAACAAAGATGTTGTCGTGTGTTTTGCTAAATAAGAAAAGCAGGAGCACACTCTTCTATTGTAAAAAGCGTGATTTTGCTCTGTGTGAAGTGGACTGCTTTGAGAAGTACCATGCGTGTCAGTGTGACTATCATAGTGAAGTGACTGTGAACTAAAACTGTGAAGTGACGCAGTTCAAACTCGCGTACAGTAATATTATTGTATATAGTGTGATTATATTAACAATATCACCAAGTCTCAAAGCTGAATATCACAAGGCGAATATCACTGTCAGTGGCGTTTCTCAGGGGAGGCCAAGGTTACCTGGAACTCAACTGAGACGACTGGAGGTGAAACATTCACAACACTGGCCAACCAAAGGGAAACAAAGACGCTGTCATGTGTTTCACTAAATAAAAAAAAGCAGGAGCACTCTCTCCTATTGTAAAAAGTGCGATGTCACTTTGCGTGAGGTGGACTGTGCGTCAGAGCGTATCATAAACTGTGAAGTGAGGCAGTTCAAACTCGTGTACAGTCTGAACAAAATATTGTTTTATATAGTGTCATTATATTTACAATATCACCATGATTCAAGATTGAAGAAAAGACAACGGGTAAGCCCTTTGGAATTTCATAATATATATAGTAAAGATTATATTTTGCAATTCATGACAAAATACTCACAGTTAATTTTCATTTGTAAAAATTGCTCTTTTGTGTATATGTAGAAAATTTTACCATCTTTCAGGTTGTTTTTAGTTTGTTTTTCTATGTTGCATAGAACAGAAAATATGGATTTTTCCTTAAATTTTGCAATGTTAACTAATTAGGGCGATTTAAATATCAGCCGCAGAGGGCTGCCGGCAACTTAAAAGTCCATACGTTAAACGTTAAAAGAACCAATTAGAATGAGCATTTTTATAAATGTTATAAATTCTTGTTATATAAAGGTTACACTGTGCCAAAATATTGTGCAGAATAAGTTATTTTAGACACACAACAACTAACTGGTACAAAGCAATTCCGCCAATTCATACAAATACAGGATTCATCACAATTGTGTATTATGCCAGTAATGACATAATTTTTATTTGTTCCAATATAGTGTAACATGTTGCGCGACTGAGAACCCCCCTCCACCCTCCTCTCCAAGGTAACGTAGCGCTCCCCGCCACTCCCCTCCGCGGTGACATAACGCGCAACGCTAACGTAACCGTAATCAACGTCCTACTGTGACGTGGCACTCATTACGCCACAGGCAAGCACTGCAGCTATATAAGTGGATGCACAGTGCGTATCGATCAGTTCGAGTTCGAGTTNATTGTGTAATTGGGAGCGCGTGATACAGTGATACAAAGCTCCCCTACGGTAAACGTGTAGACTACTGAAGACAGAGTGAACTGATTTGCGCATAGGGTTGTAAGTCGTGAAACCCCGCAACAGTGTTAGCAGATTAATGCGATTAGGGTTATAAAGTGTGAAACCCAGCAACTGTGTGATAATTAAGTGTAGCCGATAGTTGTAGATTGTTCAATAAACCAGTTAACGATCTCTACGGCGTATTCAGTAACGTAAACACGTTACAATATCCTCTTTAAACTCTACTGAAATTCACTGTACATATATATTTAATCCAGTTCTGATGGTTTGGTTTGAAATATTTTTAATGCAATAAATATTCAACAAGATATCTGAAAATTAATTTACAGTGGCAGTGCTGACAGGATACATTCCAAAATCACGCTTGGTTCATATTTTAGTAACTGACTCCTTTATATTTAATTGTCCTTTAATCATTATTTCATTGTACAAACAGAACAACCCAAGTCCAGATGGAGGGATGAAGCTAATAGATCCATTCAGTTATATAAAAGGGCCACATATTCTATCGGTAATCCCTTTCCTGAGTTCCAGTGCCCCACTTACAGGCTGGCAAGAGTGCAACTCTTTCCCACTTCTTTTATAGTATGACTGTACTAAGGTGTATTACCTCATTCACCCAGTTCATATGTGAACATACTTACTCTGGACGTTCGTTAACAGTTCCAAGTTTAACCAGGAGCCTGCAGAGGCGGCCATTCTCCATTTCTTTGGACACCTCATTCTCTAGCACATCTGATCGGATCTGAATGGCATCCAACTGAGTGTAAAATCTTGCACCAATCATAGGCATTAGGTCCGTCACACTCCTGTGCTGCTGTTGCTGTTGGTTTGTTAACAAGTACCTACAGATAAGGAGGAAAGTATGCAACAGTACTTGTACATAATACCATTTCAAGACATTCATTAAACCATTTAGTAACACAGATCATCCTATAACACCTTCACTTTTCTCCTCTATCTATCCTCCCATGTTTCCTTATTTCCATACTTCTTGTTTTTCCTAATCCAAAGAGGTTTTGTATCTATTAACCCTTCAACATTATATGACATTTAAAAACTAAAAAAACGAAACTCCATGGATTTAGTCTGCAAGTGAACTATATCAACCGAGACCACCACTTGTTGGCGAAGTTAGTGCCAACTTTAGCAGATAGAGGGTGTCACATGGTCAGCGCAACGAATCCCCACTGCCGTTAATTTCAGTTTTTTAGACCGGAGCTGCTATTTTTCCATTCAAGTAGCTCCTCAATTATCCTCACAAGGCTGAGTGGACCCCGTTCCAGACCCACTACTTCTCAGAAAATCTGGCAGCGCTGGGAATCAAATCCAGGACCTCTGGATCTATAGCCAGGAACTCTGACCACTAGACCAGAGGCAGTCATATGACACTTAAATCATACCTATTTCTGAGTATAAAGGACATTTAACTACTGCAGCCTGAGAATGAAACATTTCACTTGAACAACAACTAGATGAAATACTACTAATCAAAATATGTTGAGAGAAATATACCAGAATGGAAATTGGTACCATACTGTTTTAAAATTAAGTCTGGCAAAATGAAATAATACTTTATTGGCATTATCATCATATAAATTGAGCCTGGTATGGTAATCTCTATAACATTCCACACAGGGCCTAGAAAATGTGGCAACCTCGATGTCTCACAACCCTATGGGCCTCCACTGCCTGTTAGAAGGATAACTTTTCCTTTTTACCTTTCCACATCTTCCCAAACAAAATCTTCACCATTGCTATCATTCACTATGGCATCAAAAAGTACACAATCCAAATCACTATCACTATCAACCTCCAAATCTGAGGACACCTTCTTTGGAATAACTACAAAGAAAATATCCCCTTCCCACTTCATCATCATGGAGAATTGCTGATTGCTTCCTACTAGCAGATGATGAGGTTTCTACATCAGAACTGTGTTGCATATGTACGAGGGTTGGAACTTTAATAGTGGCAACTACTTATTTACAACTGATACAAAACAGATGCATATTTCAAGGTTTTACTGTCCTTCAATGTAGTCACCAGCATTGTGTACAAACGGTTTTACTGTCCTTCAATGTAGTCACCAGCATTGTGTACAAACTGCTGCCAGTGATGTGGTAGTCGTAGGATAACTTTAGCAGTGCCCATTGTGTTGACAGTTCAAATGGAGCGGTTTACTGCCTGAAGAATCTCTGGAACAGTTCTGAAGAGAATGCCACAAAGTGGTTCCTTCATCTTAGGAATCAAGTCGAGGTCACAAGGGCTTAGTCGGGGAGTACAGTGGATGGTACAGCACTTACCAGCCCCATCGATCGAACAAATTAGCCACAGCTTGCGCTGCATGCGACCACGCACTGTCCTGCAATACGATGGGCAGATTCTGCAGGAAGTGTCGCCGCTTCTTTCTCAAAGTTGGCCACAGGTTGTGTTCCAAAAATGAACAGTAATACTGCGCATGGACAGTCTGCTGTCGGGGAACGGTATGCGTTAGGATAACACCATCACAGTCGTACACAAGAATCACCATTACTTTCACATTGGCGTGGTTCTGACAAACTTTTGATTTTCGTGGTGACCCGTAATGACACCATTCGTTCGATTGGCATTTCATTTGTGGCTCGTACGATTTGGGCCATCTCTCATCCAGTGTAATGACATGGCGTAAGAAGGCCTCTCCTTCATGCTCTTAGTGCTCCAAGTCGTTACGAACAGCGCCATATCGTAGCCATCTCTGCATTTCCGTCAAATCATGCGGAACCCATCATGATGCAATTTTTCTCATGCCCAGGTGTTCCTTCAGAATGTGAAGCATAGTCCTATGCACTAATCCTGTCTCTCGGGCCAGCTCACGAATCGTATGGCGTCAATCACTCTCCAGTAACACGGAAAGAGCATATACTTCTTCACTGACACTAGGACGACCTTGCTGACGTATGTCTGCCACATTTTGGCATCCCTTGTTGAAGGCTTTCACCCACCTTGCCACTGTTCTGCAAGGCAATGCAGATTCCCCTCAAGCCTCTTGAAGACCTTGACACTGTCGTGCTCTACGGCCTCTGGCGCATTCAATCTTTATCCAACTCCGCTGTTCCCGTTTTGAAAACATCATGACAATACTACATTAGACCTCCAGCTAACACGAGGCTCTGTTCTTCTCATCACTGCGCATGCGCGTGATGTGGGAAGGGAGAGTCCATTTGCTCTGAGGTAAGGTAGGTATGTAACTAACGTGTGGTATAAGCAACACTATTTGGTTCCGTTGCATGTTGTCTCTACAGCAGTGTTGCTACTATTAAAGTTCCAACCCTCATATATAACAAAGAGGGACGACTGCAGCAGATGCATTTATACAGAATTGTTATTCTTTCCTATGTGTCAGTATATCTTTCACTATACTGCTTGTGACTTAAGACTAAACTCTTGACCCACATGTAAATGTCTGTTCAATATGAACAAAAAAACAAGTAACATGTATTTCATGACACTGACTTCAACCTTCCCAAATCCAAATGATACAAGTATGGTATAATCTCCTAACTCTACAGATTGGCTTTTCTATTTGATTAAATTTTACTACATAAAGAAGAAACCCTTGGGTTTACATTAAAAAAATACATACTCTTAAACAAGGGGGTCATTCTCCCTTTAAGTAAAGCTCTTAATTAATAAAATGTACATAGTTTGTATATAACGTATGTTGCCACATACATGATTACATTTCGCAAGTCATTTGAGTATGTGCGAGAAACCAGGTCCAATGATGTCTGCATGTTTTCTCGTTGCACAGCCATAAGTGATCGGCATGCAAGTGCTAGGATCACTTTCCCTAATGCAGTCAGATCTTCTTGCTGCACAGAACATATAAATATAATCCAAGTGAATTGTCAGCATTATCAGAGGTACCAAACCAGTCAAATTACAAGAGTCTCAAGTCCCTTGTAACATTTATCACTGCTCTTTTAATTGTAGAGCTTGCAAATTGTAAAATGAAAGATATGGTATTTATTATGAACTGTCTCTACCTTTCACAAGATTCCTCTATCACTCAGTTTTCAATTCTGGTTTTGAATTACTTCACAACAGGTAACCAAGGCAAGTTAACAGAGATCCAAAAGATGAACAATCTTTTCAACCACAAATTGCATTCAGAGAAGTAATACTATGACATGATGGAATTAGTTTATAATACTAGATTATATTACATGAATATGCCAATATACTGCATGCATGTGCTACCTGAATTTACAGTGAGACCTATTTAAGAAGATATGACTTAAAATGTTTTCCCATCCTAAAAACTAAAACCATTCAGTTAAGAAACATTCTAATGCTATAACACATACTCATTACATTTCACACATTTATCATTAAAAAAAGTCCTACCTAAAAAGGGCATGTTTTACTCATTTAGTATGTTTATGGCATCAAAATGCATTTAACTTCCGAAGTTTGGCTTCATCTTCGATTCTCCACACTGTCACGTCCTTCAAATGTGCAGTAAGCAGATGATAATTTTGCTTAGCCTCTAAGATGAACACCTGGCAAAACTTGTTACAGGGTAAAGCTTCTTATTCTTTTATTATCTCTTTGTATTAGCAAAATATGTTAGTTCTAGGGATAACTTCCTCACCATTACCATTATAATGTATATGACCCTTTTAAAAATGTCAACAAAACACATTTTAACTGTAATTACCTAGTAGCACAGCATATTAATTAATCAACAAGTAGAAGTTAGAATATTGTGAACTGACCTCCAAATTGCATCTTCATTGATCAGAGCATAACAGATGTGTCTGTTTCTATAACATGCGACATCCAATCCTCGAGGTGTGCCAGATCACTTTACCATGAACCAGAGCATGACACTATCATGTCCCATTTTATTTAACCCTTCAGCGTGGGCATTTAAATATCGCTGTTGTGGGGCCTCCTGCGGTAGTATTTTTTAATTACGCATTTAAATTTTGCTCTAAATTATATTATGCATCGTAACTTTTGAACTATATGAGGTATAATTATGAATTTTTCACTGAAATCATCTTAAAAGATCGTTTTATAATCTTACCTTATAATATGAGCACCCTGTATCTGAGTGATGGAAGCAAGTGAATTAGCAGTTGAGTTTTGTATGGTATTTCTTGAAACATCCATCTAAACACAACCCTGCCTAACATTCACTACACCAATAAATAGATTCTTTCCTTTTACCATGTTTTGCGCACACCACACATCTTTTCTGATGCTTTGCTTTTTTCCTTTGGCTGGAATACGCTCCAGGAAATGTCGTTCTGTGAGTCTTTTAGGCAGTGGCTCAACTGATGGACGGCTGTATACAGGATGAGTAAAACCAGAACCGTGATTTTCCACGAGGCCTTGTGCTAGTGAAATTCTGAACTTTGGTGTGCCCATGTTTTTGTTATTCAGGAGACACCGATATATGACCACTGCGTTATGTATTGCTACACTGAGTAGCCTCTTGAATAACTTCTGATGCCACTTAGTACTCTTCTTTCATTCAAGCAAGTGCGGCTGTAGCATTTGAGCCGTCAGATCCACTCCTAGTATGTTTCTGTTGTAATCACAAACAACCAAGGGCTTTGTTTCTTGTTTGTTTGCTTTATTCACAACCACACGCATATCATCTTTGTGGTATGTTGATATCATAGTCACTCGGCCATCGTAACTGTGAGGTCAGCGTTCTATTTAGACTGACTGGCAGAGCTGCAGGAAATTGAATGTTATGTTTAAATGAACAGAGAGCGCATTCTTTTCACAACAGCCCAGTGCAATCGTCATTATGCTGGCGTGGTTCGATCCATATTTATGGGCCTTCAAAATTAAGCTTACTGCTTGGCGTACGGTGTACGGCAAACAGCAGGTAGGACCATTTAAATACCAGCATACCGTGTACGGCAAAACACGCTGAAGGGTTAATTCCATTATCTTCATCAGACTGACTTATACAGGGTGTTCCTAAAAGAATGGTGGGATTTCATTGCCGTATATCTCCGTCAGTTTTTGCAGATGAAAAGCAAAACGTATACGAATTCATAACATGGCTCTCAAATTTTCATTTTGCATATCACACTCTTTCCTAGTTCCATTTTCGACAGTTAGGCAAACGATGGATTGGACGTGCTGCAAGTGAAGATGCCCCCTTTCTCCAGTGGCCACCCCAGTCCCCGGGCATAACTCCACGTGATTTCTTCTTGTGGGGGTATGTGAAGGACACGGTTTATGTACCCCCATTACCCCAATTGCTCCACGATATTTGAAACAATCAATCGTGCTGTGGAGACCATCACATCTGAAATGCTGCAGTGGGTGTGGCAGGAATTCAACTATTGCATTGATGTGTGCCGGGTAACTAAAGGTGCGCACATAGAGGCACTTTGATGGATGCACATAAAATCTGGACAGTTAAGCTTCAAATTGACATGTGTTATGATTATACACAGTAAGAAATACAAAATATATACATATCTGAAACCCCACCATTCTTTTAGGAACACCCAGTATTAGATAATTCTAATCAAATATGATCTATTTAGACCTAATGAACCTACTTTTTGACTCTTAGTACACATTCAGTCTTACACATACAAGGTCTGACAATAAAATTCGCGAACTCGCCACCGTGTGCTTGCCATGGCAGCAGTGGACAGAAACCTCAGTGTGGTTTGATTACGGTGGCATATCAGCATTTCACAGGTGTGTTGTTGTTGATCTATGATCTACTCTTTCTGAGTGGCATCTTATTATTTTTTTATTATTATTATCATGAGTGTGTTTTGGTGTGCTGTCGCAAGAATATCAGAACTTGAATTAGAGCAATGGGCGAACATTCAATTTCTTGCTAAACTTGGCATGAGTGGAAGCGAAATCAGAGATATGTTAGTGCAACTACCGGAGTGACTTTTATCTGTTCCCGAAGATAAAGGAAATATTGAAAGGAAGGCATTTTGATGACACTGATGACATCAGGTGTAATACAGTGGCAGATCTGAAGGTCAATCCACAAAAGCAGTTCCAAAATTATTTTGAAGGGTGGTGCAAAGCTTCCCAAGGGGAGTACTTTCAAGGCAACGACAGTGATATTTAGCAATGAGGTATGTAGCATTTTTATTGCAATGAGTTCGCAAAATTTTATCGTCAGACCACATACATGGAACAAATGACAACCATACTTAACAGACAAATGATTAGATGGAAGGACGATGTGGTTTTGTATGACAGTATCGTCAACAGACCCTAAGGTAGTGAAGACTCTATATCCTCATCTCTTTCTTTCAGGTCTCCTGTAAAGCCCACTTGGTCACCCCCTCAACTTCATATTTGTAAAGAACCATATATCCCTGTTTCTTTTTGCAGTTTTTGTGGGGGGAGGTCAACAGAGGCAAGGGTTGGCAACCCCTCAGATGGTGTTATTATGCACTCTGGCTTTTGAAAGAAAATGCACTCCATTTCTTAAGGGGAACGCTTTGACTTCGCGTCTGTGATGCCAGATTCTCTGTCTGGACTTCAAGCAAGGTAGATGCACCCTCCAGCACCAGCATACATGGCTGATCAGTCATTATTTTAGTTCACTTATCTTAAAGTTGTAATCCACTCCTCACACTAAGGATTACAGTGTACTTGTCTAAATATATACTGGTGTTCTAAGTGAAATGTGTTGTCATGTATTAGGCAAAAAAATACATAAATCAAGCTTCATTATATGAGCAGTTTTACTTTAATGCACACACTATGCCCTGAGAAGAACTCAAGCTTGACTATACTGACCAATTACAGTAATCTGCTTCTTCTCGGTATGTACATTCATTAATTTAGAATGTTATTATCAGGATTCTGTATAATACAATAGTACAGCGGACCTCAATTCAAATGAGAAATTCCTTATAAAAATAACTGATTTCAAACAACCTTTCAGGACTTAGCCTTAAAAGTTTTCCTGCTTAATAAGCTCAGTTTCTTCAATTTCTCAAAAATATCTTCATAGGATTTCACTGTAACACCATTGTACTTGGAAGACATTACCCACATTTATCATATGAAATGTTAATCTTCATCAATGAAGATGCTGCATAATACTGCTTCCTAATGCAAACCCTAAAATATAGCCAAGATACAAAATCATTCATTCCTTTTACGAGGAACATGCAGTGTATCTCTAAAGACTCCTACATAATAACTGACTCCAAGAAAACTGGATGTTTGTAATAGCTTTGTGGTAACTCCTTGCAGTTATCTGTTCAACCGGCCAAAACTTTTTGGTGACCACAGAAACCTCAACAGAAACTCCATTTCTTCAGTGACACAGACACTGAATAGTTAAGTAAAGGGAAGCATAAATCCATTAAAACAGTCATCAGCTGTCACCTTGGAATTAAAACATTCTTTAAATGAATGTTTCATATGGTACTGTACTTACCTCAGTATAAGGCAATCTCCTTCTTGTAGCTTAAAGTCATGGAAAAACCATTTTTCTACCCATTTCAGTGTCAAGTCAGATTTTTATTTTTCCAGCCAACTTCCCACACCTGCTTTTTTAAGGTAAATTAACACTACCCACGCTAAAACTACTGAAATCTTTACATGACAAGTAATGAAAACACTCTGCAATTACACAATGGCCTGCTTTTCTTCAGCTCCTAAGTGAGAGACAGAAATAGGGGAAAATCCAGATGTCATACTCATGTAAATATGACATCTATATATGAACAATAAAATACATGTCAAAAAATACACTCTTGTCAACACTGACTGGTTAATTGGTGCCACGGTTCTTTAAATAAAGTGTTACTGACTCCAAACATGCTATGCCTACTATTATTTAAAATTAGTTGAGTACCTGAAAATGTGGCATGAGCTGTAAGGGGTTTGGGGAAGTGGAGTCAAAGGTGAGCACATCAGAGATCGCAAGACTACTGAGACGAAGGCGAGAACGTCCTGTTAACAGTATTTTGGTAGGATCAAGAGTGCGACAAGCAAGACCAGCTGCATGTATCACTCGGAGTGCAGATGTCAGTTGAATGATGTAATTCCAGATGACACCTTCAGGTAGCATTCCACTGCCACCTCCATGCTGTTGCCTTAAAAGGGCATTCTTTTGGTGACTGTACGGCCGTGGTGCAGTTGGGTCAGCTGAGAAGGGATCTGCGTATCCATTCAGTGGTTCCGAAGGTGAGAAGTGCTTCATTAACAGGGTCTCTGAACCAGGATGATAGTCATACACAAATATCATTGCTGCAAAATAAACGAATGCCTAAAGACAAACTTATTTTTAAGTTATGGTTAAGCGGTTAAGATCACAAATAAAAGAATATTCTGAACTTGTTCCAAGAACAAGTTATGATGAACAGTGATTCTTGATAGTGTCTTAAGAATGGAGCTGCTATAATTTTGTTTCAAATCCAAGACTAATCTGTATTCTTCTTACTCTGTGAAGCACAGTGTGGCACACATAGGAGGTGTAGCCAATCAGTTCCCATACTATTTTTGTCAAAGTTTCAATGCAGTAACTTTGGTAACATTTACAAACGATTTACTGACTCACTGTTGACTGCAGTGCAAGTGGCTGTAAATGTGCTTGCAATCTGTCAGTTCCATGGTTAATTCCTCTTCATATGTTCATTATAATAATTGGTGGCAAGTTGTTATGCCAAAAAATTAATTTTAAATTTTGTCTGAAACTTGGAAAAACCTGTATAAAATCACATAAAATACTAACCATGTGCTACGATGATAAAGTTACGTAAAGAACCCAACTTTTTGATTGCTGTAAGCAGTTCAATGAAATACAGAACATGTAAATAATGCAGGATACCAAAATATTATGTACCCAATGCAAAGGTCGTAAGAGTGAAAGAAATGGTTCAAAATGACTGAATCACAGGAGTAAATTTAATGTCAGATCAGACACTCTGCAAACATCAAACCTTCGGTGACAATTTAAACATTAAAAGGGTCCCAGAAGATTTGAAAAACTATGAAAAAGTTGAGATGGGAGAAAATTTTATCCAATTTGCTTTGTTATTTAAAATGACAAGACTCTTTGCCAGATCACTGGATTCACCATGACAATAGACAAGTACACAGCACTTCATAAGTACAGAGTGGACATTAACCTTTAAGGGAGTGGACATTAACCTTTAAGGGACGGACCATTTAAATTCCGGTAATGGCCGCGGGCCGGAGTTAATTTAAATGCCCGCCATTGTAGAGTAATAAAAATTGTAATCATGTTACTGAAAATGCTGTGATTTCTATCATTTTTGTGACAAACGAACGAAATAAATGCTGCTTCTATCTAGAAAGAATATAGAATCAGATATTGTAATTTACAGATTTTAGAATCTGTAAAAATTGTTACACTGATTCAAAAAAAAATCCCCAATTTTGAGCGTCTGTCCACAAAAATGCATAAAGCTTCTGCACAAAACGTTTCTGCAGTATAAATGCATGCTGCTGACACACGGTCTGACTATGTCTTATCTGGAGGAGAGAGGAAGTTTGTTTTCATTGCACATTCTCCAGTCACATTGGCTTCTTGTATACACGAGTGTGGGCGAGTTCTTATCCTTCTTTGTCCTTATGAAACTGTGCCTCTTTATACACGTATGTCGGACTATCCACAGAGAGTTACTGTTCTTGGAATGCCCCTTGCGTCCTCATCCCTTCATAACCGATTGTACCGCATTCTGAATGGTGTGATTTACGAGCGGCCTCTCAATTTCGGCTTCTTCCATGCGAAATGGGGCCATGGTGCATAGCTGAAATTGTGATGTTTTATAAGCGTTACGAATAGAGGAGACCACTCACCATCACTGGCCTACTTCCTGCTAATACAAGACAGATGTTGCGTGTGTGCACTTCACGTGGAAAACAGAGTTACATACGGACAAAGTGCATAAATTGCGACGTCGGACTCTGCATTCAGTTAGATGATGCAGGAGGGAAGACAGTCTACTTATAAAGCTGGTGTCCAAAAATAATGTAAGTAGAACAAGAATTTCTATCTTAAAATTAAATTTTAAAACACTGTGCGCACGCGTGGACTACGAATCACCATACGGTGTCCTTCGGCCACTCGGCTTTTAATTTAAAGACCCCCATACGGTGTCTTTCGTCTCATAAAGGTTAAAGTGTGCAGGAGGTCACAGCTACTTGTAGGCATTCCTGCAACTGTAAAGGCCAGAAGAGGAAAGAAAGAGCAAATAAATGACTAGACAGATATTCCATCCAATTCTTTCCAAATAAACAGAACATCATTTCTTAGAGTTCTAAGTAACTAATTTAATAAGGCACTTTTTAAACCACTTATACTATGACTCATTTCAAATTTTCTACCAGTTCTGCGACACTGCTGTCCTAGTTTTTCACTGACTGTAGTTCGATGTATCATACATGATACTGCAACAACTTGCTTTCTTGTACGATCTCAATAAACATACTTTACAAGCTACGCTAAGCAAAGATTTATTATGCTATTCAATGACTACAATTGTTCTGGTCTGCTCTCAAAGCCAGTAAATATACTTACAGTAATCTCCAAAAGCCTTAGTTGTAAAAACTTCCCGTAACTGAACAATGTTGGAATGTTGCAGACGCTTCCACATGTCGACCAGACCCATGCATTTTGTATTAGGTAGCCGAAATCCTAAAATAAATTGAATATATGTCTTATACTGTTTGATTATCAAATGAGAGACTCAGAATTCAAATATGATGATACTGAGGAAAGAGATCCATTACACTAATTTCATAACAAATTACTGTTCCATTAAATGCTGTGGCATGTAGACCCACTGCTAGGCAACAGCCATGAAACAAAGAAGACAACGTCCATTACTAGACAACAACCCATAAACTGCAACAGAGGAAGAGCGTTTTCTGTGTGTTCTGTGCCAAGATGTTATAAGCAGGACAGTTATGGAGGAGCTGAGTTGACTTGGTTGGTGAGTGACTGAGTTAGCCCATCAATTAGTGAACCGCTCAGGTTCAGTAGTTGCAAGCTGTTGTTGTTAAGAACCTGGCAGCTGAGGCCAGGGAGAGTTCGGGAGCCCAGAGGAAATGGAACATCTGTTTGAAGTCACTACCAAGAAACAACAAGTGAAGACAAGATACACGCATGCACACACAATCTCTCCCTCTCCCTTCTTTCTGCAGCTAAAATTTCTGATACTATCATACATGTCACAGCTTCAGCTGATGGTGAAACTGTAAGCCTAGGTGTTCAAATTGGCAGCCATCAGCAAAATTGTTAATTGGAATAAGACATGGTCTCAAATCAACCACAACCATTCCATGTGTATTACAGAGGTTTCTTCTATGATTAGTTACTGCAAACATAGGCCGCACCATAGCTCAAGCAGTTAGTCGCTGGCTTCCCACCATGGCAGCACGAGTTCGATCCCGGGTCTCGTCAAGTGGAATCTGTGGTGGACAAAGTGGCGCTGGGGCAGGTTTTCTCCAAGTACTTCGGTTTCGCCTGCCAATCTTCATTCCACCATTATAATCACCTGGGGCAGGCTACAATAGGCCAATCAGTGGCTGCCATGCCAAGTGGACCCACTTGGACTACACCCACCACTAACCAAATTTAAAAAAAAAAAAAATTACTGCAAACATCCAAATTAAGGTATATAATAATAAATATGTAATTAGTAGAACACTAAATTAGCAAAGAATGTTCTAGTTGGTGGGAAGAGAACATTTACTAGAAACACGAACATTTTGTGGTTATGGTTCAGTAACCATCATGACGAAGTAGTGCCAATGTAAATGTAAACAGTAATATGAAGATTACTGCCTTCTTGGATGTGACATATTCTAGTCATTTTTTGTATACCAGGCTTTAATTCATTCAGGTATTACACCAGATTAACGTGAGTTCTGATGCTTTTCATAAGCTGACTGTTTTTTTAAAAAGTGGCCAGAAGCAACAAGTAGGTCATGCAGCCAGACAGCTGGTGCTTATTGCATCATGACTTTTACAAACCTTACACAAATAAATCAAAACACAGCACTATAAGAACTTTCTACTGTCTTCCTATTCATGAAAATCTTCTCCTCATAATGAATATTATTCCTCACCATGCACTCTGCGTAGGCAATAGCGAACTCCAGTCTTAGTGTTGGTAGCCTTGTACGTGGACATGGGGTAACCCAGCAGCTGGCTTTTGTGCATGGGATTTGATGGAACTGGTTTCAATGGACACAATTCATGATAGTTGTCAATCTCGCTTGGTAAGTCTGCAAGCAAGATTCCAATTGTGTGAGAACATACACAAGTAATAACAGTGGGAAGAATTTATGACCCATACTTTCTTTAAATCTCTGAACCCCCATCATGACATTATGTGCAACTATAAATAGAATATTAGGTAATTTAGAGATCTATTTCTCTGTATAATATCTATTAATACAAGTTCAAAGAACTTAAATTTTACAGACAAGTTCTGTAACATTATCATGTTTGTAACTGTTAACACATCAAAAATAAATTCATATAAAATTTGTACATATACTTATAATCTACCTCCATACAAAATTCCACATCATTAGCTCCAATGGTTCTTCAGCAACTTCCATTCAAAAAAAAAAAAAAACCCAGATTTAAAGCAACTGCCATATTATTTCACAGCTAATAAAAATACAGTACAATCTTGGCAATCAGACATATATGGGACCAAGGTACACCAGATTACTGAAAATGATGGATTACTAGAAAAAGTCAGAATAAATTTATTAAGTTGTACTGCACAACATAGAAGTTCCAGAATTGATCATCATTTAATAGAATTATTTCTGCTTTAGCAGTTAAAAGTTTTATGTTTATGTTTCTCAGAACTGGACATCTTCACCATACATTAAATCCTCCACTGTATGAAAAGTACTGTACAGGAATATATAGTACTGAAGAACTGAAACACTGTGTTCAATTACCGAGATTGTACTATAATAACAACACACAAACACTGCATATTTTGGATGATACGGTCCTTACACGAATTATCAATATACAAATGAAGTGGCACTAACATCAATCTGACCTCAAATGTTTTCAGGTATACATATTAGTTATGCTGATGTAAGAAACTAAGAGATAAAAAGATATGGTAGCCCCTAGCAAAATTCTGTAAACACAATCTTTCATGAACACCAACCAGTTCAGATGTTATTAGGAGGAGACAGACATATGGGCAAGCATTACACCAATCTTGTCCAAGGAAGATCAGTTAAATAGAAAGTGATTTTCTATATTTGAATTCCATGCAGTAACAGGTTAATTCTTCTGCAATACACAAGGAACTGTTGCATGACAACACAACTCTCCACTTTTTCCTTTATCTTCTAAATTAATTTTTCTTTTTAGGCTTGAATTTTATTAAATTTGTATAAGAAATTCTATTATCTAGTACTGCACAGGACTGTGACACTATTATATTTTATTGCTTTGAGCACTAATTCCCAAAGTCCTTTGCAGAGCCAGGAAAAATTCTGAGTGGATCCAAACATTCTCTAATTAAAAATTCTTCAGAATTTTCAAAGTAGCAATATTATGTTAAAACAAACAGAAGTTGCTTTAAGAGTGCAGTACACTGAGTCAGCGCAACCCCTAGTAACCTGCATTTATAAAACCCCATATACCTAACACATCCTTGACAAATGAGCATGCCAAATTGAATAAAAGATATCCACAATACATTGTTACATTTACTGCAGAGTGCTAAACAGATATGCTATGGTTCAGCGATTGAGGCTAGCTCTTTCTAAGGGACCCAACAGAGTAGGTGTCTTCCTTCACCTGAGGACAGAAAGAGATCCAGTTTCCGAAATGTTGTGTTTTTTCTTAGTTATTTAGAATCTGGATGATGAAAAAGTCCAAAAACCCAGTATCTCTGTGTGCTATACACCATCGTCATAACCCTATAGTATACAGATATGAATTTGTCTGACACTTCAGTTCTAATCATGGTAGTGTTGACACTTCGGAAATAATTGGAAATAAATACACAGAGTTCATTCTCCTTTCATTTCTATAACTTCATTTGTTGGTTTAACCCGTTGGCGTGGTTTGACGTGTATGTTTCGTCAGGTATTTAAATCGTCTGGGGGGGTTCGACGTGTATGTTTCGTCCAGCTGCACACCTATGTTATAACGCCCATAATAATTGATGGTTTTGCTGTAGATTGTTAGATTCTTCGCTGGCCTGTTGTCACAAGAACGGTTTATAATGAGAAATGAGTTTAAGAGCGCTAAGTCATCGTTACATATGCCTGTCTTGCAGCAAAGTTCCTGTGGCTCTTGCGAGTGTTTTCTTGGTTCTAGTGTCATGAAAGGCGTGTTTGCTTTGCTATGAAATTATAAACAACAGAGACGTGATATTTACTGTGTCATATTGCCCTGAGCTGGCCACACTAACACACTCAATTGGAATTCTTAGAAGAGGGGTGTCCAGTAATTTATTCTCGCATGATCCATTGATTTCGCACAGTATATAGCACCCAGTTCTTAGAAAAACGTCACGAATTAAGGCAGAACACTGTGGTCACCCCCTGAGACGATACGGATGTGTGTGGGGGAGGGAAAAGAACTCATTCCTTCATGTATTATCGCTCCAGCTGACGCCATTTTATCGTACTGACCTTGGTGGTCGTTTCGAGGGATGACCATAAATATTTTTTTGAGCCAGCTAGGCTCTGCTTTCGTGCACTACATACCAGCCAGTACTTAGAATAACTTCATGAATTCTGTGGTCACCCCTACGACATCTACAGCCGCCAAAATGGATGGAATATCAAAGGCATAGCAACAACCCCTTGTTATGATAACTCGTAACGTTGAATTTACTGCAGCTGACCTGACTAGCTTTACTGCTCACGGAAGGACATTTCCTTGAACTAGACCCCTCACGGGGAAGAGGGCTAGGCCGCACAGAAGCTGTGTGGTTAAAAAAAAAGAGCAAAAGAAAAGATACGCAGTATTTGTTTGGTGAATGTGAGCCAGCGCTGTGTTTAGACTAATGCTTCAAGGCGTCACCTGCTTGCATTGCCGAGATACCGGGTGCTCATATTATAAGGCAAGGTTATAAAACCATCTTTTAAGATCATTTTAGTGAAAGTTTCATCCTTCAAGGCGTACCATTCACTGCTCAAATACTAAACAACCTGCTTCCATGGCCGAGATACAGGGCGCCCATATTATAAGGTAAGGTTATAAAACCACCATTTAAGATCATTTTAGTGAAAGTTTCATGTTCCTATCTCATATAATTTAAGAACAATGATGAATAAATCATTTTCGAGCAAAATTTAAATGGCCGGCTGAATATATTACCGCCGGAGAGACGGCCGCGGAATTTAAATCACCGCGCAAAAGGGTTAAGAGCTTCTATTCACAAATCAGTAAAGATAAGTAAAAAGTAATGCTATCCCTGTAACAGGCTGTGAAGGCCCATACAGTTGTGAGACACTGAGGGTCCCACAAGATAGCTGGCTCACAGAAGGTGGTAAGGTTGTCAGACTTACGCACCGGCCGCGCTTTACTCCCCAGGAAATTTATTTAATTAGGTAGTGTAGTTGGTTGAGGCATTATGCTACAAGCTGGAAGGTTGCAGGTTCAAGTCCTGATGAGGTAATTGGATTCTTTCCAATGGACCTAATCCTTCCAGCCTCACTATGGCCCTGGGGTAAACTCAGCCTCTAACAGAAATGAATACCAGAAATCCACAAATCAGTAATCCAAAGATTTAAAACAGGAAGACTAGAAATTCTTCTTTAATTTCAACACAAAAATACTGCACAAGTGGAAACTTTAATACATCTGAAATACTGACACTAGTAAAGGTACGGTAAAACTAATTAAGCGTTATGTCATGAATACTGATACTAGTACACTAATTAAATTATTTAACACATTATTATCAACTTTAACAATACCATACAAAAGTAAATCTTACATCAATGTCTGTCATATTTAAATCAGTTTCACAATTCAAATACATTCTTTCAGATCTTCTTCTAGGAGAATAACAATCTTTTGCTTCAGCATGAGAATCCTCGTATAATACACGCTTCAAAACAGTGACAACAGAGCACACCAACAGTCTAAAGGCATAAGAAGTTGCACTTCATGACTGCTCATACAAATCAACTCAAATTCAAAACAGCATATGAATAAGTATAAGCCAACAGAAAGTTTTGCATTGTAAATAAAAAGAAAAAAAGACCCAAATGCATGAATTTGGGTCCAAGAATAGGGGATCTTCTTAACTTGAAAAAATCACATAAACATTAAATATATATGTGTGTGTGGGCGTGGGCGTGTGTGGATTCAAATGGTCCAGAATTTTTAAGTGGCAGTCTTCTTTTAACTTTAAAAATAAAAGTTTTGAAGTATTATTTCCAGCCTTCCTTTCCTGAAGGGACTATTTCTGTTCATGAATAACTGTCATTCTACACACTGTTCAAAAGAAACAAAGCATCTATACATAACATTGCACATGCATGCAAATGGTAAAATGTTAAATCATACCTGTGAAAGACCATATGTGAGACAGAAAGATGAATGAGACGTAAAGAATTAAAAAATTAAACACAGGCAGGCAGACAGAGACAGAGAAATGCTTCAAAGAGAAAGCAATAAAAAACAGAAATAAATATAGTATGCGCCAAACATTACAGTACTCAAATGAAAAGACATCCTGTTGATACCACTGTCTATTCACGTGAAGGCCCCTTGCACGACAGAACCTTCTCAAATCCTGAAGAAATGGTTTGATCACCATGTCCCTGTAGCGTTCTTGGGTGACAGTATGAGCATTGCCTTCCTCATCCTCAATGAAATAGGGGCCTAATATACCATGTGCTGAGACGGCACACCATAGCATCACACATGTACCATGTAGTGGTTTCTGGATGATAACATCTGGCCGCTCAAAACCAAGGGAGCGAGTTGTCTGGCGACCACTTCCATATGAGCAGAAATAATACTCAACTATGAATACTTTTTCCTCCGTCGAGAGACCCATTTCCAACAACTGCATAAAACAACTTCCTTTTCACTACTGGAAACACATGCGGCTGGAGTTATGCCCCGTCAACAAATGCACATGCGCTTTCTAGATGCGCAAGTTTCAGTACTGCATATTTTGGCACATACTGTACAAGTGAAAATAGAAATTATGGTGGCTGATATGCAACAAAGAATGAGTAACAATGAAGTATAGTAATCTCTTGTCTGACTGCTGAAAAACCTCTTGCATGTAATGATGCTCAAGGTTACTAAAACATGCCACTCACCTGGGAACTGTTCTGGATCGGGCTGGACCAGCACAAGAGCATTTCTATGCAGTGCTTCCATACGTATTTCATTGGCCACATAAAATCCACCTGAAGATGGAGGCTTCCCTTTAATGGTGGCCAGGTGTGTAGGTGTGCCAGGGTACATATGAAAGCTTGGCAATACTATAGAGGGCACCACAGGGCTACCTGTACTCAGACCACTGCTGTTTAGGCCTGCAGCATCTCCTGCACTTGCTGCTGCAGCTACTGCCACAGTTGTTGGATAGAAATATGTTGTACCACCAACATTCTCCTGTGAAACCAAATATTAAGCTTGCTCTTCACATAAAACACTGAATGGCTCAGAACCATACACTTATTACAATTTTTAAACAACTTTAATTAGTTTCAGTATCTGTCATCTTGAAAACATATACGTGCTCTAAACGTATCTCCTGACTTATGTGATTTTAAGCCAAATGAACTTCACATATATGGGTTTTCACATTTTATTTAAATCTAAAAGGCGATGAAATTGTCTGGAAAAAAAAAACATAGGTTTTGTAAACAGAAGAAATGAATGGTACTGAAATGAAGTCAATTACATATTTCTCAACAAAAATTTGAAAGCAGTGAAAGCAAAGGAGTAAGAGAAAAATGAGTGAATTTCATGTTACATATTTCAAGATATGTGAACACTCTTGGGAATGTCACTGTATTTCATTGCATAACTCAGATGTATTTTTACCCAAATGTTGTAATCAAAAACTTGGATGAGAGATTTCATGAGGACTTACATAAATGGTCTTCCATGGAAAACAACAGTCCACAAAAACTTTACATGAAGATAAAATAAAGAATAAAGAATGGACAGATCACACACAGGATTAACTGATAATAAAAGGTACTTATTTTCCTCAAGAACACTCCTGAATGTATTTCATCAGTCTTAAACTTATGCTCACTGTATTTCTCATGCATGGCACATGTAGATGCTGCAGTGGTTACAAAATCAGCATATGAAATGACATGTTATAATACTGATACTGAAATGTTTATACCTGGTAAGTCGATACAGGAGTTATGGGTGTTTTGTCAAGTGCAGAAGTAGGGGAACAATTGTTCAATGGAGGTGAGGGTTGAGGTGTTAACTGTGGAGACACTGGGACAGGACTCTCAGTACTCCTACGCCTGCCCCCAAATGTCGCCTGGGGACCCCCTGAACCGGGCATGCCAGTGAATGAGTTGAGGAAATCAGGAGAACCACTCCTTGTTGCAGTGTTGCCAGTGGTTCCTCCACCTCCTGCTGCTGGCACAAACTCAGGTGCCTGAGGGGTAACCTGCAATATACAGAAAAATAAACCCTCATACACACAATGCTTAAATATGAATCTCTTTAGGGAAATATTATTTTATGAGCAGAAAATATTTTCTGACTAAACAAACGATATGCTACCATAATACAGCTCTTAGGCTTATAGTGGCAAATACATTGACATGGCAAAATATTAATTCATATGCAATAGTTTAATAAAGAGTACTAGCCCATTCTTAGGCAGTATGTCACAGCATGTCATACTATGAACTGTCTCATATTATTGCTATGGAACATGGATATATCATTTGTTTATCTGTAAATAATGCGTCAACAAAGCATGGGGAAAAGAATGCAATGAAGGGAAGTAATGAACTTGTAGACCGCTTCACAATATTATGCTTCATAGCTAGCAGTGCACTTCAAGCGTGGGAGATTGTTTATGATTTGTCAGCAATAGGCACCAGTTATCAGCTCCATCAGCCATTTCTTCTCAGTTTCAGTTTATAAGAAGTGTGGTACATCATGGTGTGGTATACTTTAGAACAACATGTATTTCTGTATGACATCTAGCAAAATATGGATCTGCTCGAAAGTGTCAGTGAAAATTTTGACATAAATTTCATTATGAAATAATTCCCAGCAGACAAACAATTCACAATTTGGTGAATAAACTTAGAACAACAGGATTCTTAATAGACAAGAAACAAAAACTTAAGTGCTGACTGCTGACAGAAGTTACATGACACAGGTGCCACACTTGAACATTCACCTAGAAAATCACTGAAGCGTCTAGCTCAAAAGTCTAGAGTGTCAAAGTCTAATGCAAGAAAGACAACACAATTGCTGAAGCCATCCAGTTAAAGTTGGTGTCGGGTGTGCTGTAGGCACAAGAAGGAAAATGTACCCATGTTTTTTAATGAAATAATTAATTGCAAAAAATATCTACATGTATACAGGGTGTTTCACGACTTTAGGGCATAACTGCAGGAGGTGATTTCCTAGGTCTTTGTGATAAAAAAAAGTTAATATAAACATGTGTCCGATTTTGGACGGTTACGGAGTTATGACCATTTTTTCATTCCCGTATGCGCCCTCACGTGAACCGCGTCTATCATCTGGCGGGTCGCTATTTTTAGCCAGCTACAGACAAGAGTTCTTGTTATCTTGACACTTGAGAGGTACCTAAGGCGTGGTGGGTTGGTATGTCTGGCCATGGCTAGAGTGGCGGCTACTGGTGATCAGAACAGTTCTCATCTCGGTGCGTCTGTTACGTTCACGATGCCATTTATATTTTCATTTGAGGAGTATGCAGATATGATTTATGTGTACGGGTTTTGTGATGTAACTCAGTTCTTGCTGTAGCTGAACATCAGCAATGGTTTCCAAATCATAGAATACCGAACCGGAGAGTGTTTACTAGAGTTTACCAGGCATTGCGAGATACCAGTAGACTTAGCGGCATTCGTATTGCAGCCAAGCGTGGTGTTAATGAAGGCATCAATGAAGAAGGCATTGTTCGTTTGGTACACCGCAGTCCACGTACGAGTACGCAATTTAAACGTGACGGTGTCAATAATACACACAATTCTCATTTGTGGGGAGATGAGAATCCCCACGCCACTGTAGAAAGCAACTTTCAACAACGTTTCAGCGTCAATGTGTGGTGTGCAGTTCTGGACGATCAGCTGAGAGGTCCTTTCATCTTGGAAGGTCGTCTTACAGGAGAGGTGTGCCTCAGATTTCTACAGGAGGAATTGCCCCAACTTTTGGAGGATGTGCCTTTGGATAAGCAAAGTCATATGTATTTCAAACACGACGGGGCTCCTCCTCACTCTTCATGTGGAGTTACAAATTTCCTGAACTATCGTTTCCCCAGGTGATGGATGGGACGTTGCAGTCCCCACCATTGGCTAGCCAGGTCTCCAGGCTTAAGCCCACTGGATTATTGTGTGTGGGGATGGATTAAAGAACTGGTTTACAATGTGAAGGTGGCAACGCGAGATTCTTTGCTTGGTCGCATTCTGGACGCCGCTGACCACATAAGAAACAGCCAGCCGAAGCTGCTATGTGCTATCCGCACGGTTCACAACCAAGCGGCAGCCTGCGTTGTGGCCGGAGGTGGCATTTTCGAAAATCAGCTTTAAGCACCAATAAATTAAAATTAAAGGTAATTTCACAAAGTTAACTTTACATTCATACTTTAAATGTATCATGTATTAATCTGGTCTATTATTTTGTTCAGTTTATTGTCAGTAATCGTTACCTTCTATTCTGAGTTTAAAACGGTCATAACTCCATAACCGTCCAAAATCGGACATATGTTTATATGAACATTTTTGATCACAAAGACCTGGGAAATCACCTCCTGCAGTTATGCCCTAAAGTCGTAAAACACCCTGTATAGGACTGCATTTTCAACACCTCAAGATCCATGAAGTGTAACTACTTCATTCCGAATGTTATTGGCCATCAGGCATACTGATTGATGGGCAAAATTTGCGTGCATCTCGTGGCTGGCGATGCAGCACACACCGTGAGGCACAGAGCTGTGAACTCATCAAGTGGGCAAATATCTTCCCTGTATGAAACCTATGCAGTACAAGTACCACCAAGTAAATCAAGAACCACTGACCTGGTAACACACACAATTAAAAAAATAAATATTTCATCAATAAATTATGAAACATGATATACAGGCTTAACTTCCATTTCACAAGTGTGAATTTAATTCATCTAGACAAGAGGCAGACATATGTAAATAATATACACCATTTAAATGCCACTCAACGAGTGCATCTGCCTGCTGCTCTTCCTGAATAATTACAATATATGACTGTTTTTATGGAAAAATCAATAAATTATACTGCTACACAACACACCATGTTCCAGGAAAAGTGTATAATGTAGAAAGCAATGTGAGGATAAACTGGAGGTGACAGTTACACTGTCTGGAGCAGAACAGTATAAGCATTATAAACACATCTTAAGCAACACAAGCAGCATACCTTTTTCAATGATACTGGAGTGTCTAGAGTGAGACCAGCCAAGTTCTTGGTGATGGACTGACTAACATTACTCGTTGGTGTGCTGGTATTCTGTCGATTCTGTTAACATCAAAGGAATAATCACACATCTACCCTACTAGTAAGATACATAGGGCAATCCAAAAGTTACCGAAATTTGAATTTTGGGCGCGAATGATTATGAGTACATCGAAATACCACTAGGTGTCTCCTCACACATCCTTCTTGAATCAGTGTGGCAAGCGGCGTCGAGTTGAGTGGTTGGGTTTATTGTTGGTGAACGTATTTCCATTGTTGTGTTTCTGTGAGTCTGTGGTTCTGCGATGGCTGACTTGAGAGAGCAGCATGTCTGTATAAAGTTTTGTCTCAAACTTGGGAAAACCGCTGCACAAATGCACCAAATTTTGAAGCAAGCTTTTGGTGACAACAGTTTAGGCCAGACACAAACTTACAACTGGTATAAGTGTTTTAAAAATGGCCGAACATATTGACTGATGATGACGATCGTTCGGGACGGCGGTCAATGGGCAAAACACCAGAAATTGTCACGAAAGTTAGGGATCTGATTCTGCAAGATTGTAGACTGACCATCCAAGACCTCTGTAACACCTTGGGACTAAGTTATGGTACATGTCAACGAATTTTGTCAGAGAAACTGAACATGAGGAGGATTGCGGCAAAGTTTGTGCCATGACTGCTGCAAAATGAACAGAAGCAGCATCGCTTGGAAGTCTGCAGGGAACTTCAGCAACAGCTTCAAGAGGATCCAAACTTTCTTTCGAATGTTGTCACTGGTGACGAAAGTTGGGTTTATGGCTACGACCCTGAAAGCAAGCAGCAATCGTCGCAATGGAAGAGCCCTTCTTCACCTCAGCCAAAAAAAAAGCTCGACAAGTCAAGAGCAACATTAAGTCCATATTGATCTGTTTCTTTTTATATTGATGGGATTTTTCATAAGGAGTTCGTCCCTCCTGGTCAGACAGTCAATAAAGAGTTCCATCACGATGTTCTAAGGCATCTGAGGAAGGACATGAGGAGAAAACGTCCAGAGAAGTGGCGCACGAATTACTGGGTACTCAACCATGACAATGCATGACCGCATACGGTTTACATTGGGCAGGAATTTTTGGCTAAAAACAAGATGGCAGTTGTTCCCCACCCACCGTACTCGCCAGACTTAGCTCCATGCGACTTCTTTCTCTTCCCCAAGATGAAAATCAAGTTGAAGGGGCGAAGATTTGATACAGCTGAGGAAATTCAAGTGGAAACGCAGAAACACCCTAACAAAGAAAAACTTCCAGGATGCATTTGAAAAGTGGCAGAAACGGTGGGATTGGTGTATGCGCTCCCAAGGGGACTACTTTGAAGGTGATGGTGCAGAATAAGATCTAGGTAAGATGTTATAGTTTTTATTGATATATTCCAGGAACTTTTGGATTGCGCCACGTATATTTCCTTTAATGCAGTGACATCCTGACCCTAGCTTTACATTCCCACTTACAAAGAGTACCACAAGACATTAAACATTGTAAGCTGCAGAAGCCCAACCACCTCAGTAATATGCCCCTTGCTTGTGCATTGTTCCTCTAGCAGTGTGTGGTGTTGTCTTCACTAGTGCTATATATTAAAGTTATTATACACTGCACAGAAATGTTACCTTAACAAAAGTAGATGGAGCAAAGTCAATTTTGAGAAGCTGACAGTGGCTCAACTAGTAAAGAAATTGTTTGCCTTTTTGGCAACATCATGATACAGTACACTGTTTACATGAGTCTGTCAGTTGTCTCTTAACTTGAGTCACATGAATCCATTCCAACTCTTCAGTTCCACTTTAACACCAATACTCTTATACTTAGATCTTCCAAGTTTAGTGACAAAGTCTGTTTCTGTATTTCAACATCCCGTTGCAATTGTTCAAGTTAGCGTCCATTGTTTATCTTCCATCAAAATTGCAACACTTTTACATTCTACACTTCAACACTACATATTTTGGCCCCAAACAGATCTTCAGGTGTTTTTATGTTACAGATATTTTGCTAAAACTGTGTTTAAAACTGCTACACTGTTTTAATTTGTGTTAAAATCACACGCTGTAGTCTTCTTTTTAAGTAAAACGAGATAAAATCTTTTAAATTTCTGTTTCATATTATTTCACCTCACCCGGGGTGTCATCATTTTCATAAATGTATCAAGGCGTTTTTCTCAGCAGCTTGCCCCTCACGTTCAAGGTCTACTTTCAGTTTTTGACTGCCATATGCTCCTGGTTTGTGTGCGCTTCCTCCACAGCATGTGGAGATCTTATCTCGTGTTACTTAAAAAGAAGACTACAGTGTGTGGTTTTAACACGAATTAAAACAGTGTAGCAGTTTTTAACACAGTTTTAGTAAAATATCTGTAACATAAAAACACCTGAAGATGGCCGTTTGGGGCCGAAACATGTAGTGTTGAACTGTAGAATGTAAAAGTGTTGCAATTTTGATGAAAGATACACAATGGATGACAAAGTCTGTATTCAGTTTTCATCTCTCCCATGCATGTGACATGACCCACCCACCTTGTCCTCTTTGCTCAGATCATCCTACTCTAATTTGAGAGAGAGTACAAACTGTGAAACTCACTATGCAATTTTCTCTTCCTTCCTGTCACTTCCTCCCTCCTATGTCCAAAAAATTAAAAATGTATCATTTCTAAAAAGAATCATTAACATGTGCAGCATCCATGACTGTCAAGAAATTAGAATATCAAACCATATGGAACCTTCTTTTGTTTTATTTCATTCAAAGGCATTTGTGCCGGTATGAGCCACAAGCCAAGAAGTTTTGTTTCATTCAATGTGCTAAGGAACAATAGATCACTGTGCAAGGGCCAAGAAGGCCCACCCCTTATACATTCATTCATTCTTTCATTCATTCATTCATTCATTCATTCATTCAATGTGTGTGCACTGGCCTCACTGGTATAATACTGAATAATCTCTCTCATGTCTTGTTCTGTCCACAAATATTAACATCAAGGATTGAGCCGTCAGTTTTTATGAGTAATACGTATCTGTTACACATAATATAAAGAAAATGATCAAAATAGAAAGCAGAAATAATTTACCATGTATGTTGCTAATTTTGACTCTTGCGGCACCCCATTAGCTTGAGAATATGATAAAAACATGGGATCCATTCTTTCCCCACAGCCAGTGTCTGAAAACATACACATGCCTGTAATTAAAGTAACTAAGTTCTAAATTAATATTCATAATGTTCAAATTATTTCTGTTTGACTTTAAATCAACATTTCTATTTTTGCCATTCTGAAGAAAGGAAATATTATTCAAGTATATATCAAATGCAAACACACCATACATATATATCTCATATCATATCTTACACCAAAAAAAAAAGACACAGCAAGCTTCACTGCTACTTTCATGCTGAACTATTTCTATCTTATCACTCTTACACTTTCCCTTATAGCTGATTGGTTAATCTGTTTAAACACACTTGAAATGTAATAACTGTTCGTAATGGTTAACACATTAAACAAATATACACCAAAAGTTAAAACAACTTACCCCAAGTTTTGGTAGTGACAGTTTCCATATACCAGACGCTACATTAAAGTCTATATAAAAATTACCTTAAAACCCCATATTTTCCAAAGGGGGAAAAAAAACTATCACAATTCAATGTTTCCCGACACTTCTCTGACTGGCACTAAAACTGTTCCCATTCCTGAAATCTGCAGATACTGGCATGACTGGTAATGAAGAATTAAAATGTAGAGAAGTGGAGTATATTTCAATCCAACGATATTCTCATGTGTCATGGAAATGGATCAACAGGTTCAAAAGTTAGTGGATGGAGAATAAGAGACAGTTTTCATGTACATATGCCTTCTGGGTAACAGCAATCAATTATGGTGTCAAATGCACAAAACATGAAATGTTCATCATCTCATAAATGTTTCGTTAAATTCAACATGTTCTGAAGGAATACCTTCAATTTGTGGTATTGGTATTTCTAATTTTATTTCAAAACTAATACTAACTTCAACCAATAGATGGAAGGGAAGTTCAAACCAGTAAAAATTAAGAAGTATAGAACTTAAATACATGTAAATATTCTGAAGTTGTAGTTCATAAAAACAACAACCAAGCTAACACATATTAAATTAGATGGTATGAAAATGGTTATGTTCAAAACAAAAATGAACTTCAAAGAGAAAAAACTGTACTGTTTTCAGTATAGACACCATATGTGTATTTCAATACTTACTTAATTAAACAAGAAGTAGGAAACTGGATCATTAAATTCTGGTTGGGAAAACTCCCCATTATANAAAAAAATGGTTTAGTTGTACAGATGCAGGATTAGAGTCAAAGCAGTTCCAAATGAAATTTAGTCAAATAATTTTACAATGAAATTACTTTAAAACTATTACTATATTATAAGTAGTGTGTGAAGAAATAACAGTAACATAATACAAAGAGGCACAACTGATCACTGTGGTCGCGGTGCAAGGGCCAAGAAGTCCAACCCCCTTATACATTCATTCATTCAACATAATACAAATGTAGTGAAATGCTACATTTGGAGCATTGCTTTGTATGGGGCTGAAACTTGGACACTTAGGGCAGTAGATCAGAAACACCTAGAAAGCTTCGAAATGTGGTGTTGGAGAAGGCTGGAGAAGATCAGTTGGACCGATTATGTGAGAAATGAAGAAGTGTTATTTAGAGTCAGTGAGTAGAGGAATATCCTAGACAAAATAAGAAAACGGAGGGCTAATTGGATTGGCCATATCTTACGCGGTAACTGCCTTCTAAAAGAAGTTATTGAAGGAAAGAGAGAGGGGCCGATAGAAGTGAGCAGAAGATGAGGAAGAAGACGCAAGAAGATGCTGGATGACCTTGGGGACAGAAGAGGATATTTTCATTTGAAGGAGAAAGCTCTAGATCGCTTCAAGTGGAGGAACTGTTTTGGAAGAGACTGTGGACCTGTCGTCTTGACAGATTACTGATGAATGAATACAAATGAAACACAAATATGGGACATGCTGTGCCCCTTTGTTAGAATTAAAATGTTTCTATACAGTTACAACAGTTGGGGCTTGTATGAGGGGTAGGCCTCCTCGGCCCTTGCACCATGACCTACAGTGGTCTATTGTGCTTACAGTTGGGGCTTAGCTTAAAGTAAAGGTTTATTCAGAATAAAGAGCAATAAGGCGTATTCTGATTTGGAGTAAACATATTGTGGCATGTTCACTGAAACCTAGAATAATCAGAAGAGAGAGCCATTACTAGGTCATGGCACAGTAAACAACTCATCAGCCCAACAATGACTGCACATGCAACAGAAGAAGGTCCACGCAGACAGCAATGTCACCCAACACGAGAATAACTGTTTTCTGTGCAGTCCATGCTGAAGCTACGAGAGTCGTATTGAAAGTCATGAGCAACAATTTTTTGTAAAGTAACATGCTTTATTATTGATAAACCAAGTACATCACCTCAATCTACAGACCTTTCTTTATTTTTCCACATATTCGCCACTTCTTTGTACACATTTCTCCCAGCGTTCTAGGAGTTTAAAAATTCCCCTTCTGTAAAATTCCATTCCAGCCATTCGAAGACACTGACGCACTGCTTTCTGAATTGCCTTCCTTGTATCAAAACACTGTCCACACAGCTGATCCTTCACAAATCCGAAAAGATGGTAGTCAGAGGGTGCCAGATAAGAGCTATAGGAGGGGGGTGGGTGGAAGAACTTCCCACCCCATCTTTGCAATTGCTTCCAATGTGAGGCGAGCAGCGTGGGGGCGAGCGTTGTCATGCAGGATGATGATGTTTCGTCCCGGACGTTTATCGCGCAATGCACGACGGAGCTTGTGCAGTGTCTGGACAAAACGAACAGCATTGATGGTTTGCCCAGGTTCCAGGAATTTGGCCAGAATAAACCCCTCTGCATCCCAGAAGACTGTGCCCATCACCTTCGTAGCTGATGGCACTGTCTTTGCCTTCTTTTTTGATGGAGAATGCAAATGGTGCCATTCCATACTCTGCCATTTCGTTTCAGGCTCGAAATGGTGAAACCAGCTTTAGTCACTTGTCACAATGCAGAGAAAAAAATCGCCTTCATGTTGATATCTCTGCAGCAGCTCTGAGGTGATGGCTTTTCACTGACCTTTGTGGTCTTCGGTCAATAACCACGGGACCCAACAAGCACAAACTTTCCTATAGCAAGCTTTCAATAATCTCCTGTACTGCACCATGCCCTATTCCAAGTTTTCATTTCAGCTATTGGGTCCACAGTCACATGCCTGTCATCTTGAATGATCTCATCCACTCTTTCCTTGTTGCGTTCAGTTGACGCTGTTCGAGGACGACCGCTCCAAGGCTCATGTTAGATGCTGGTGTTCCCATCTTTAAAACGTTTCACCCATCTTCGAACACTGCTCGCACCTATGCACACTTCCATAAGCACGCTGAAGTCTCTGGTGAATTTCTGCAGCAGGGATTTCCTCTTTCACAAGAAATTCGATGACAGCACACTGGCAAAATGACACATTGTTGTCGGCCATTTTGTTAGGAGTGATACTGGTCACGTGATGCAAGCTATTGACGTCACAAGACACTCAAGGTTAACACAACAGCTGGTTCCACCTACCACCGTACTCTCTTTTGTCTGCTGTTCCCAGGTTGCATGCAAAAAATGTTGCTCATGGCTTTCGGTACGATCTACGTATATACCGAAGAGCAGCTGCCATTATAAGATAGTCCTGAGATGGCTGTCAGAAGAGTAGAAGGTTGGCGTGAGATGGTCACCAGCCTGTGAGGACATGAGCCCAGAAGCAGAGGAATGTTCACTGTTGGAAGATGTTCCCAAGCACCGCGGTGAAGACTGTGACTGAGAACACTAGTCTTTGTGTGTAGTGATCTGTAAAATGTAGTCACAAGTTGTTTAAGAGTCCCATAAATCTCATTACCAATCCCAACTCCATCTATAGTCACTCAAACACGTGACAACTGGTGTCAGAAATAGAATAACTGGGTAACTGGATAAGGGGGATTAGACTGATTGAATAATTGGTTTGGAGATTGCAGCAGATAGTCACATCACATACAACAAGAGTGGAACAGATACTGGAATTCCTGGCCAAAATGAAGGCCATGAGGGAAGCCTAGTTAGAAGACGGAGGCCTGTGTGGAAAAGGAGCCTTTCTCTGAGATGGTGAATGCAGTGCAGCATCATTAAATCCCTAATGAGGAAGCCGGAGTGGAGACTATCAAAGCACTGAGGACTGATACGGGGACCAGCAACCAGCCGTGGAATACAAGAACCCACAGGAAGGCAGAATGACAATACTGTATCAGGAACCCCTAAGGGGTGAATGTTCTATAAGAGACATCTGGCACAGCCAAACTGCAACAACAGCAAAAAGGACTGGGGCCTGAAACAGCAGTTATGAATGGGAAGCACGTGAAATATCAACAAGACCCTGAGACAGATCATAGTGTTGGAGGTTGTCAAGCTGGTAGAGGTCTGCCATCAGGATTCAAAAAATGAGTGTCAAAACACTGCGGAGGAGCAGGCCACCATCCAAGTGAAAGAAAGGACTACCCACAGCTGAAGAGTCAGAAATGTAGGAACATTGGCCACTTTCAAAAGTTATGCCTGCACTTACAGGAAAAGAAAAAATGGCAATATGCCTGTAGGCTACTCGGGACAAGCAGCTTTAAGGAGGGAGAAATGTGGCATGTCCACTGAAAGCCAGAATAGTTTAATCATTAAATGGAGCCATTACTAGGTTACACCACAGTAAACAACTCATGAGAATAACAAGTTCACACAAACAACAGAAGGACAGTGCTTTCTGTGCGCGTGGATAGTGATGTCACCCAACAACAGAATAACTGTTGGAAGCAGTGTTTTCTGTGTGGCCCATGCCGAGACTACATCACGAGGACCAGCTGCCATTACGGGAGTCTTGAGACGACAGTTAGAAGAGTAGGATGATGATATGAGATGGCTGCCAGCCTGCGAGGATATGAACCCAGAAGCAAAGGCACATCTGCTGTTGGAAGATGTTACGAAGTAGAACCGTGAAGACAATGACTGGGAACACTAGCATTTGTGGGCAGTGATCTGCAAAGAATTGCCATGAACTGTATGAGTGTCCAATAAATCCAATTACCAATCGAAACACCATCTATGATCACTTGAACATATAACAGTATTTTCTAAACATGCCATCTGACATACTTCACTGGTTCTGATGTTCAGCCACAAACACAAATCTGCTGTTGGGCTTATTAAAAGAACCATTAATAAATATTCTTTGCTTTTCTTTAAATATTCAGTATTGAAGTACTTAAAATAAAAGGAGTGCATATTTATGAGATATAATGCTAAATACACATTTTCTGCCTTTTTGAGAAAATATACAGGAACAATAGCAATATACTGCACTTGAACTTGAGTTACTTTGTAACAGTTCCACTACAGGCTCCACTTTCAATTTGTTGTTTTATTCTCATCTGTGGTATTATGTCCCAAGGTTTTATCTGTTAAGATAACAACAAAAACAAACAACAAATTCCGTGGTTTTAGCCCACAAGCGAACTATACCGACCGAGCAACCGCCACTTGTTGGCGAAGTTAGTGCCAACTTTAGCAGGTAGAGGGTGTCACGTGGTCAGAGCAACAAATCCCCACAGCCGTTAATTTCGGTTTTCTAGACCGGGTAAGACAACAACATTGATGAAAATTAGAGTGATTCAGAGTTGTAATTATTTAGAACCAAGAAATCCGTGCTATCCCACAATTTCAAACACATAGTCCCAATTAAAACGGTCTCTCTTGAGGTTTGGTCTATGGTCTTCCACATCTGAATCGTAACCTAACTTACCAAGTAAAATTAATCCTCACATACAAAAAGTAAATACTGTCAATGCTATACCCTGGAAAGATACTGATAATGACAATTTCCCATTGAAACAAATGTCATTATAAATACTACTTGCATGCTTTTGTAAGTACAACATTTTCTTGTTCTGTCATACCAGACAGTAATCAATAATGGTTAGGAATGAAAAATTAATGACACTGACAGCCACCTGTTCCCAAGCTTGTATTCCTTGTACTGGTTAGCTCTCGAAATACCCACCTTCCACACTGTTAGATGAGGCAGTTTTAACAGAGATGAAAGGTGCACATCAAGGATTGTATATTTTTCCATATATATTCTTTGCACTTTACCAACCTCAATGGCCCTGCTCTTATTAATTACAGGCACAAATTTTGTAGTGGGATGATTAAATCATAACTGCTCTTCATACAAATTAAGTAAGGAGCTGGGATGGTGTAGTTAGTCTAGTGACTGGCTGGGCAACCAAGGGGTCAGTTTGAATCCTGGTAGGGTCAAGAATTTTCTCTTCTCCACGTCATCCATACTGGCTCTGGGGCCCACCCAGCCTCCAATGCAATGGGTACTGGGGGCTCTTTCCCTGGGGAGCACGGCAGCAGGGGCTTGAATCTGACCACTCACCTAGCCAGTGCCAAGGTCAAGAAAATGTGGATCTATACATCCACTCCTCCATACACCTTCATGGGGTAGCGCTTAATTAGTTAAGCACAGGGACAGCTTTACTTTACCTTTTACTTACAAATTAAATGTGTACAGTCACTGATTTAAACAGTTCATAATATATACAAGTGGTGAACAAAATAATGGAAACACTAAGAAACTGAGGAATAGAATTTGTTTGTGTTGGCTACACTGAAAGAACTTCACTTGGCAACAATGAATGTTCTTCTTCCATTTGTTAACACTGTAGTGCTTGCGTCAGTGCATCAGTGATTGTGTTGAGTGACAGTCCATGTGAAAGAATTATAAAATAGGAGACTTGTCTGATTTAGAAACAGGACAGATCACTGGTGCACATTTAGGTTGAGCATCTGTGACAAAATCTGCCACATTATTAGGTGCATCGAGAGTGACAGTTTCTAAGGTTATATTGACATACATGAATCATGGGAAGACAACATCGGTGAAAAGGAACAGTGGACGAAAATCAACACTGACAGAAAGAAATCATCATAAACTGAGGATTTTTTTTTCTCAAAATCACTGCATGATCCACATATTATTTCTGAAGACCAGATGACAAATGTCCCCATTCACACAGCTGGAACTGTTCAGTCGTGATTTGAAGAACATGAAGGTGAACTTCAACATCTTTCCTGGCCAGCACAATCACCATATCTGAACATCTATGAACCACTCTGGTCAGTCTTGGGGACTAGAGGAACATTTTCCCACCTCCGACATCTCTAAAGCAACTGGAAGATGTTCTTCAAGAAGAATGGTATAAAATTCTGCTAGAAATCTTTCAAAACTTGTATGAGTCCACTCAAAGAAGGACTGCATCTGTACAACACCATATAAGAAATGCATACAGTATCTGTGACTGCCTTTGCAGTCTAGTGGTCAGAGTTCCTGGCTACAGATCCAGAGGTCTGGGTTCGATTCCCGGAGCTACCAGATTTTCAGAGAAGTAGTGGCACTAACTTTGCAGACAAGCTGCAGTCGCTGGTCAGTATAGTTCGCTTGTGGACTAAAATCACGGAGTACAGTATCTGTAGTGTTTCCATTATTCTGTCCAACCCCTGTACATCTGAAATAAGGTGAACTCCTTTAATTCACCAGTACTTCTCGTTTATCTCTGTCCTATCATCATTCATATAATGTAATATTTATATCCTCAATGAATATTTTATATGTATTCATTTGGGCTGCATCTGAAGTAGAGCTTCTGTTATAATTACATAAACCAGACTCCCAATATAAAATTCAATGACATTTATCTAGTAGTTCTGGAGACTAAACATACATAGACAGACATGATGACAGTATTAAACAATATCTCTAAGCATGATGTGCAGAAGAGATATATTTAACACATACATACAAAAACATTAACACTCATATACATGTAAACACTGAAATCCATTAATTTAAATTATATGCTATATGCGCTGTATATATTTTTAGAAGTATTATGCCTTGTGTACTTACTTCAGCAAACTCTGTCATGATAAGCTACCACTGTACCAAAAAAGACAATGATGTGCTTATTTGATATCTATGTATGGGCTTCACAAATTATTATCCAGCCTACTGTCCAAAAATTATAAATGACTGGTAACTACAGACTGAATTTACAAAGCCCACTGATGCTATACAGTCTGAGATACTGGCAGCATCATTAAACGACAAATAAACGTATAAGCCTGATCAATATTTGCCTGAAGAACATAGCATCCCAATTGCTATCTCTTGCCACTGGTAAAATCTTAGAGAATATAATTTGCCAGCAATGTGATTATGTGTTGTCAACAGCCTTCAAGCAGCAAGTGCCCAAAGAGTGACTCTTAGGAGGAGGTTAACTGTTGACATAATATAATTATGAATATGCAGATCAATCTAAGTGAGATACAGAATATAAAACGTTCCTAACCCTCAACAATACTGTATATGGCAGTAATATTAGTATTCTAATATAATTAAAATCTGTTAATACCAGAAACTTAATTCAAAAGAACCCCAATAAAATTCTTGCTTTATTAACAGTATATGACATACTTCAAATACAAATGCCTAATACAGTGAGGTCCAAACCTAAATGATCCAAAGTATGGGACTTCGAGCACAGCTAATGCATTAGTTGGAAAGAATTGCACATGAGGGCAGGCAATGTTCTGATCATGAGCCATGCTGTCATAACAAAAGTTCACTTCGTGACAACACTCTATTTCACGCAGGTCTACTCACTGAGAGCTGTTTTTCATAATGAACGAATGTGATTTAAGGATGGTTAGGTAAACAATGGGAGAACGCATATTTCTTGTCAAGACATTTCTTCTCAAGAACAAGTCCTACAAGCTGTTACGTAAGTTTTGATGGCATTGTCCAGAAGCTATGCCACTATAAAAAAATTGCTCTGAAATTGTTTAATAAGTGGCAAGAAACTGGTTCCATTTGTGACAAAAATAAATGATGCCCAAAGTGTGCTTTCAAAGAACACAGACTCGAAGACATTTCAATGAGAATGGAGCGAAGTCCAAGAAAACTGTCACATTAGCTACAACAAGAATGTAGCATATTCAGATGATGATTCCTAAAGATCCAGTTGTACGCATTAACTTTTGTCACTGGATGTTACAATCTGCGTTAACTGGATATGGTTATGGCAACTTCCTTAAACATGTACTGTAGTACAACATACTAATTACGTAAAACGTTTGTATCCAAACACATACAGAAAAATGTCAATATCAGTATACTTCATCCTTTAATTTGGCAAACAGCAAGGCGGTCCAGTTTCTTGTACATGACAAACAGCGACATCCTTCAATTCCTTTCTACTGTGATGAAAATACTTGGCTCTAAACCACCAACCGCCGGTACGTAAGTATTATGCGGTAACAACCTATAAAATAAGCAAATTATTTTCATGTCTTACATGATGGCTCCTCCTGTTTAACTCTATTATCAGAGTAAGAAATACTCCCAGGAAAAATGACGTTGTTGATGCTGTGATTCCCGGGCAGAAGCAACGTTTCGTCCCCAGGGTAACATGCCCCCATGTTTGAAACTGTTAAACCCGAACTCAAGTAATTTCCCCTACCATCCACAGGCACAGCTGGTTTTCTCAAGCTACTAGATATATTGTCCATGACTCCCCTCACACACTTCTCACATGAATAAAATTAAGCAATACAAACTGAACATGAATCTGGTATATCACTTGCTACAGGGAAATGTCAGATATCGAAGCATTTTACTTAAATATTGACGCGGCTTATTAATTCCATCTAACATTCCCAAACAAAAGCTCTCCTACTCTGTTCTCTCTCTTGCTGTCTTGTTCACAAGCTGCGTGCGCAGTTTAGAAAAATATACAATCGCAGAAGAGGCGCAAATTACAAGAGAGAAAATTGAACTGTGGTGGATTTGAAATTCTCATGATGGTGACGGAGTTGAACTGCATTGACGACAGGACTGTTTGTTTATTAATTTAATGTATACACGTTTTCACAATTATACGCTCCTACTGTTTTATAGAAATTATGCTTCTGCTCAGCTTACATTCGTATATAATTCACGAGAGTTAATTACCAACAATATGCACACAAAAGTAGATGGCAGCAGATACACGCTTAAATTCTTGCATTCGTGCAGGACTAGCACACTACCGACAAACGCTCAATTTCATTCTGGAAATACGCACGAGATGACACTGCGATACAGTCATCGAGTGCAGCAAATGTATACAGCCATTTACTTTTTGTTTTTCTGGTGTGATGTTTTTAAAATCACGTTCTTCGTGACCTTAGAGTTTAGACCAAATAATAAACAGTTCATATTGCTAATTGATTTCAACGATCGGCCGTGCGTGTAGGAGGTGGCAAGAATGAAAAGTCTGCTCTCCGAACTTTCAAATCTAAATTTAAATTCATTTACTTACTTACTTACTTACTTACTTACTCATGGAGCTGAGCCCTTCTGGAGGAGCCGCCAATTCTGCAGCTACTCAAGAATTTCCCAGCATTCTATAGAACCCGAAGGTTCATTACCGTGTTCACAAGAGCCCTCCACTGGTCCCTATCCTGAGCCAGATCTGTCCAAACCATACCATCCCATCCTATCTCTCGAAGATCCATTCTAATATTGTCCACCCACCTACGCCTTGGTCTTCTCTGTGGTCTCTTTCCTTCTGACTTTCCCACCAATATCCTATACACATTCCTCGTCTCCCCCGTTCGTGCTACATGACCTGCCCACCTCATCCTCCTTGACTTGATCGTTCTAATTATACTTGGAGAAGAGTACAAGTTATGAAGTTCCTCATTATGCAGTTTTCTCCAGCCTCCTGTCACTTCATCTCTCTTTGGTCCAAATATTCTCAACACCCTGTTCTCAAACACCCTCAGTCTATGTTCCTCCCTTAATGTCAGAGACCAAGTGTCACACCCATACAGAACCACAGGCAAAATTATAGCTTTGTATATTCTAATTTTTATGTTTTTGGACAACAGACGAGAAAACAAAAGGTTCTGGACTGAATGATAGCAAGCATTACCCGAGTTCAATCGCCTCTTAATTTCCTCCTGAATCAGGTTTCAATCTGTTATNTAAATTCATAGATGACATAATTCGTGCTTCTAGTTTAGAATTTGCATTTCAGCTTCTCATGATAATATAAACACACTTTTAAATATATGTCACTAAATGATACGTTGTCGATAAAGTATCCACATCAAATTACGTCTCATTTTATTTGCAACAACATTCCGTTTTAAAGACATTTTCGGCACTGTGGCTTTCAGTTTCAATATACGTTGCTAAATACACAGCCAACAAAATATTTTAATGCAAGAAAGTTGGATGGAACCCAAGCTAATAAGGACGGGTGTACAATCATTTGGAAATATCACACACGCACGTAAGTTTCGCTTCTTCCCAAGGTTAACATTTCTAAAAACTATTTCCATGGAGCTGATGAGTCCTTCCCGAGGAACTAGTAGTTGCCCAGCTGATCAAGAACGATCAAGAAATTCCTGCCTTTTCTTGAATCGGAAGGTTCGTAAGAACCCACCGCTGGTCGCCATCATGAGCCACATGAATTCTGTCGGGGCAGTCTCGTATTCTATTGCTTTATGGTTCCATATAATTTATATACCTCTCGCAAAGAGTTTTCTTCCCTTCAGATATTGCGGCCAAAATTTGTAATGAATTTTCACCCCTACGTGCTCCTTCCATCCTCAATTCGACAACCCTAATAATGAGGAAGGATAATTTAAAAAAATTTTGTGATGTTCGATCATTCTTTTTTTATCTCAAAACCCGCAAGACCTACAGAAGAAGTGTACTTGACATAAAATACGTACTTCACTTTTCTCTACAAGTTCTCTTCAATATATTTTCAGCTTCTACAACTCTTTAGTGAGTTATTTTCGAAACGCGAGCAGATATGCATTCAGGTCTTCATATAAACTACTCGTTAAAATTGTCTTTTCAAAATTAACATTGAAATGGTTCGACAATTCTTGATAAATTTTCCACCGTCACATTTAATAAAAATCGGTCCATCCGTTCTCGAGTTGTTTCATAATTACAGACAGACGGACGGGTCGATTTAAGTATGATTTCGCAGGGATGCTAATGCGAATCAAAAGCAATGGTTGTATAGGTCAGACGTAGATAACTTACCGGATAGGAAGAGCACGGTCTTCTGGGTTGCAACATCGTGTAGTTTGGAGACAACCCGACGTCGAAAAGTAAGCCAAACGAGGGACTGGAAGAAGCTGGCGGCAAGATGAGCCTCATCCTGCCGCTTCTTGCTTGCCTTATCCTTCCATCCTAAAAGAGAGGTGATATATCCCTCCGAAACGTCGGGCATTCCCCTAACTGCGCGGTGTTCCAACCCAACTCGGCATATACTACGGGCGTTTGGTATCAGGATGCTGGGGAGACTATTGGGACTTAAGATGGATGAAGTAATATGAGGCTGGAGAAAAGTGCATAATGAGAAACTTCATAGTTTTTTACTCGCCGCCAAGTATTATTAAAATGATGACAACAAGTTGGGTGAAACGGGCAGGTCATGTAACTCTCATGGGAGAGAATTTCCTACAAAATTTTGGTAGAAAATCTGAATGAAGATCAGTATGAAGACTAGGAGTGGATGATAGGATAATATTAAAATGGCGCTTAATTAAATAGGATGGGATGACGTGTACTGTATTTCTCTGTCTCGAGACAGGGAACACTGGCGTGTTTTTGTGGACTAGTAATGGACCTTAATATTCCATAAAATGCTAGTGGTTTCCTCAGTAAAATAAAGTAAGTAAAAGTAAAGCTATCCCTATAACATGCCGTGAAGGCCCATAGGGTTTTGAGACGTTGAGGGTCCCACATTATCTAGAAAATTGACTCATAGATGGCGATAAGGCTGTCAGCCTTACGCGCCGACCGCACTTTACTCCCCAGGAAAGCTTTTTAATTAATTCCTGGTACTCATTTCTGTTAGAGGCTGAGTCGACCCCAGGGCCATAGTGCGACTGGAAGGATTAGGTCAATTAAAAATCCAATGATCTCATCGGGACTTGAACCCGCGACCTTCCGGCTTTCCTGAGTAGTTCAACAATTATTATAGTGTTACCTAGATGGAATACGAACTTTCATAAAAGTCTGAAACTATCGACTGTACTTGTTCGTTTTTATAACTTGCTTGCCAGCATATTGCTTACACTTTTATATCCTACTAGTACGGCGCGCAACACAAGTTCACAACAGAAAGTTATACCTAATACTGAACATAATCATTTGGTCTTAGAACCTAAAGGTTTAAAATCGCTTGTGCAAATGGCCAACACTGGGTCACATTCTAAGCCAGCTATCACATATAAGACCGGTCTTATCCGTCCAAGCTCTCGTGAATATGATAATGAACTTTAGGGTGCCATAAACAACAGGGAATTTCTCTGTTAGTTGGGCGGCTGCTCACTTCTCACAATGGGCTATGCTGCATCGTTATTTAGTCACGTCCGCCACTGATTACGAAAAAATTAGTAAGCTAGTGCACAGTCCAAATTTGCCAATGGCTCTGTTTCCTGATCGCCCGTAGCCTGTGTAGTGTTGCTGCTTGACTGACAGCAGGAAGGACATGCCGTGGAGCCGCCAGGCTTCCCTACCAAACAGCAGCTGACAAAGCCTCTTGTACAGTCACCCCCTCCCCGCAGCTGCAAACAGACTCACCATGGGGGTGGTCGCCACCTCACACACAGCTCCAGATAAAATCAATTCTCTTCCCCAAAAAGCATCCGCAAAAGCCAGTGTCGAACTACCTGTAGTAGCTAAAAGCATGCAGTGGAGCTGTGACGTTCCTTGTGTTCTGTTGCTAGGAGTAAAAACGTAATCATGCAGTTGTTCCATATATTGTGAATAATGACGCTGCGTTTACGAAGCCTCTAATAACAGAGCGCAAAAGTACAACGGTATTAGTACCAAAATCTGCCACTAGAAATGATCCCGAACAAGAACCATCTTCATGATTTACATCCGTTAAGATCTATCGTAATTATTGTACTCTTGTGTCCGTCTCTCAGTTGGTATAGCGATGAGGCTACGACTCGAAGACTAAAGACTCGAGGTTCGATTCTCCGCAATTGCAAAAGATTTTTATATTTCCCATTGCGTCATGCCTGTTTCAGGTGGTCATATCCAATGGATACAAATGGCTCTTTCCCTCAGAATAAAGTGACTGAGGCGTGAAGCTGACCACTCGCCTCATCTAGTGCCCAGGTTAAAAATGGTGGAGCTATATTCTCACTCCCTCATACGTGTTCATGGCACAAGGACAGTTTTACCGTACCTTAACTTACGCACGCCCGTCTCGGTCTTAAAAATGGTCCCTTGAAAAGATGGTTTCCCTC